GTTATGTACTGATACCCAAGTCACTTTTCACAGCCAATCTCATTCCAGAAGGAACAGCCAACCTAGATATCTGCTATGCCCAGAATGGGTAATCTGCTTGGGAAAATTTTTAGCTAATCAAGATTAATGCAAATGTAAAAGCAGCTGGTTTCTGTCAGTGATGAGTAGGAATAACATCCACTAGCTTTAAAGACATGGTTAGATCAGATGGGAAGGACCAGTCAAAAATACATTTTCCCTTTTTAACATGCTGATTAAGAATCTATTGTACGTCTCCCTCTAACTTCAGTCTCTGAAGAAAATAATTCAGTGCTCAACATTGCTCATGCAGTAACAATTTAGGACAGAATCCATAAGTAAATACAGTACTGTCCCCCAGTCATGCACATGCATTATTCCTTCTTTGCACAAAAAAATGTGTCTATACTTCTTGTCACGCCTGCAGATTTCTCCGTTAATTTGGTTAATTCTATTTTCTATCAATAACATCAAAGCAAATTAAGAGAACCAGTTTTTTTTAAACTTGCCAAAATTTTTGCAGCCTACCCACAAACTCCAATTTTTCATTGCTAAAATGTTGACAAGTGAGCAATCTAGCAGATTCTATCCCAACAAAAACAAGTTTAATTCCTTTGTAATGACGATACCAGATACTAAAAAAGCTATATTCTGTCTGAAAGATTTCAATGGACAAATCCAAATAAGTCTTTGTTGTGATTTTTTTTCTTTACAGCTCCTAGCAACAATATCAATAAAACAATATCTCTCTGCAGGAGAAAAACTGATCACCTTACTATCACACTCAGAACCTTCTGTATTGACAAGATGCAGACAAAAAAAAGGGCAACCAATCCTCAAATTTGCTGTTGCATTAGCATGTCTGGTACATAGAGGCTAAACAAATAAGGAAATCTTCCTTTTGCTCAGGCAGAAGGATAAAAATATATTATAAATAATTTCAACAATACCATATAAGCAAAAAAAACCCACCTTTTCTTTTTTGTCACTACTGTATGCATGTATATTTAATCTTTTAAGTCATTTAAGGACATGATGTTATTTCTATTTTTAGGAACACTTCAACAAATTTAATGTCTTACTGACCTTATTTTTAAGCTTATTTCATTACCTGTAGGTTTCCAAGAAATAAAAAGTTACAACACAACACTTTGTGTCTCAACCAGACACTGTGATAAATCTTTACCAACCTTTAGACAAGCACTCTTCATGATAGGGATGCTTTAAATTTGGCTATTAAGATTCCATCTGATTTTTGAGACTACATTTATTATTTTCACATGATAGCTTGCTCAAATCTTCTCTAAACCTTTTCTGCAATTGAAATGTCACAATTAACATCTGTGCAGTGTGAACTGCCTCCTCCTGCATGTTACTGTTACAATAGTATCTCACCTTCTACTTCACCTTTTCTACTCAATTCTGCCTGCAGAATAGCCTGGCCAAAAAAATACCTTGTCGGAACTACACAGTGAAACATTTGTGCTGACGTAAAAGAGGATAAAGAAATGTGTAGTTACACCTATGAACTTATTCTCAGAGGGACAGTGAAACCAAAGCTTTTAGAAGTTAACTGGATTGAAAACTGAATTGGAGATAAGGAAGTCCAGACAGACATAAATGAGAGCTCTTCAATAACCTGTTTTACTGGTCAGTATTGCATGTTCCAAATGGAGAGCTACACTTCTTGTTCTGTCTCAGATGGGTATGACAAAGGTAAATCATGTAGTCCATGCAGTTCTTTTGCCCTTAAAGTAATACAAGAAGTAAGTACAGACAAGCAGCAAGATGTTTCTCAAAACAATATTAACATATGAAGAAAAAAAAAAGTAAGCCTAGATTTCATAGTGTGTCCGCACTGGCTCAGTCCTAATAGAAACATCTGCATGTGCTTACTTTCACTAAATCTGCAGATTTCACTCAAATACACTTTAGATGATACTTTGCAGCAATTGTCCTTTACTGCTGTAAGAACACCTCAAGTACAAATTACTTCGTTTGTGGCAACAGCTGTAAAGAAACTACATGCTGTAGTAATACAGACAAATGACAAAATCAGATACAATGATAAAAATGCACATTTCTTTCCGTTACTCCTGTATCCATGCAAGGCAACTCTTCTGGCACAGACACAAGTTTCAGGAATCATATCACTTAACATCTACGCCTGTAAGAATCTGAACTGCTGTCCTGATTCTTAAGGAGAACCACATTCTTAACCTTTCTTTCTTTCTTTTTCCCTTCATGATCAGGCATGATCTTCAACAACATTGATTGTTTTACATCTGCATTGTTATGACTCTGGGCAATGTCAAGCAAATAACAGTGTATGATTATCCATAAACATTCTTCATGGTTTAATACAGTACTCTGAAAGTAGCAGCAAAAAACCACATGTGCATGTGTATTCATGACAAGGCACACCTGCTTCTGTACTTAACTCTGACACTTAGCATAAAAAAAAAAAAAACAATAATCTAATAAAAAAAATCAAATCAAAAGCAATTTTAAAATAAAAATATAACCTTGTTGTGTTCAAAGGGAAAAAGGGAAGACCATGTTAAGGTACAGTAAAAGGTAAAGAATTCCAAGTAACAATGCTAAGTGCTAAACATGAAAGTGATATGTGAAAATAATTACATGCCAAGCTAAACTGTTTGACAGGCCACATGGTTCTTTATTTCATGCTAAGATTGGATTTTAGGAGTAGGAATGCTGCACTGCTAATGTAAAAGTATACCAACCACGCAAAACAACTGTTTCCCAGGCAAAATGCAAAATTCTTATCACCCATGATAAAGACATTCCACAACAGGATCTGAAATGTTTATTTGCTCCAATGGTCTTGTTGTGTTCAACTTTATCATTGTACAATTACAGCTGACAGGTTTATTTTGTCATATTAATTTATTTCAGAACATGTTGTGCCACTTGAAAGCTGTCAAGAACAGAGTATTACAGAAACCTTTTGCTAGTCTCTGACAAAGACTATGTAATCACTAAAAGGTTCATCTTCTTTGTTTAAGAAGTTCTCCAAATAGCCCCCAACTATTTTATGCTCTTGTGAAAAATACCATCCACATTACCAATTTTTGCAACATCCTCAGTGTTTTGCCTCTAGAAACTCTTTTTACAAGGACAATGGCATGAAGAGCTTTAACTCTGGAAACCTGCCTGGCAACCCACAGCAGGATCACAGAGGTGCTCAGCACAGGCTTGAGAGGCAATGTGCCAAAGTAAGTTCTATCATATCAGCTGGCTATTGACAAACAGTAGGTGTCACACAGTAACAGAAAGCAAAGAATGTTAATTTAATGCACTGGAGAGCATTAGTCATGCTGGACAGCCACAGTAATTTCTGCCAACTAACTAAAAATACAGGTAACAAATCTTGGATTTTCTGGTTTCCCTTCTTCCTCCCACCTTTCAGGAAACACACACCAAGACACGTTTTTTAAAAGTAACAAAAAGGAGCAGTGTTAGGAATCCAGACTAAGCAAAATTTTGTTGCACAAAAAACAAACACACCAAGTCAAATAAAAAGGTTTGTAACTCTTACTCCATGAATTTCTGCTAATGACACCTGTGCCATTATATACTTCCCCATCACTGAAGCGTTCATCATCAGAGTGTTTAAAGGCTGTGCAACATATAAATTCACTTGAGAAAAAAGAATAACCTAAACATGAATTCTGCAGAAGCAGAAAAACACACTATGCTTCCCAGATTTGAGATGGCTAAAGAGTAGTTCAAAAGAATGAGAGGAAATGAAATCAAAGTGAATGTGATGCTACAGGTCTTCAGTATTAAAAAAATTATACATAGTTGCTTTCACTTGAAGTTTTGCAAGCATTTAACAAAATAAGTAAACAAACAGTATCTGGAACAGTATTTTCTCAAGAATGTAACTCACTAATCAGCATAATTCTCAGAATAATATGAAGAGTTTAGGAATATGAATGCCATTAACCTCCAGTACAATTTAGAACAAGCACAAACAGATCTGTAGTCTTTGTAAAAAGAAAAGAAACAAAACCAACCAACCAACACCTTCAATTTGTGTTCCTAACACCTTTGGATTTTTTCAATTATAGTCACTCTACAAATTATTTATACAAAAGAATAATAACAGTAATAGTAACAATGAAATGTCATATGTAAGATACTATAATATTAGTTAATAATATTAATCATCAATAAGAACTTAGAATTACTTTTTTTTGCAAGTAGATGTGCCTTCATCAGATGCTATGGTGATTAAGATTTGTAAGCTGCCATTCATCAGGGACATTTTTAAGTTATTTCCTTAATTCTGTTCTGTTTAATACAACAGTACTTAATCAGTCCCTACAGAAGTTCACAGAAATTTTTTGGGAACTTAGCTAAGCGATACAACATATGCCTCTTGTCTGTGCACACAATAATGTCCGGGATCAAAGTGCCAAGTTATTAGTATGTTGTTACTTTATGTCATGCCATATCCATCTGTGACTTGTGTGTGCCAAATGCTCCCCTAGAGGGAACAGTCTCCTCACCTTCCACCTTATGCATCTTCTAACATGCATGTTTCCAATTAAACAAAACTCCTAGGTAAATGTATCTGAAATAAGTGGCAGCAAGCCAAAATATTTACTGCTCAAATTCCTCTCTACAAGAAGGCCAAGATCAGCTTTAGGAAAGCATTATATTTAAATTTTAAAATGTCAAGAAATGTTCTCATTTGCTGATTTGGTTCAGATAAGATGGTAAGGGTGTTGGGTTGTTTTGGTTTTTTTTTTGTGAAAATGAAACAGGATTCTGGTTTGGGTTGATTTTTGGCTTCCTTATTCAAATGCCAAAATGACTACATCATAAAAAAACAGTTATTACATAGATCATCAAGCACTGCAAAATGAAGATGTCCAAGTACTTAAGCAGCTACCTACACCTATATTACAGGTGGCATAAGTGATATGGAACAGAAACTTAGCAAAGTTGCTCACCTTCTTCATCTGAAACATCCAGGACCTCAGTCATTGTTTCGGGTACATTTATCTTGTGCTTCTCTGTCACAGTCTGCAAAGACAGAACCTTTAATCCTCAAATTAAACACCAAAAGAAGTAGCAAAGAATATTATCATAGAATATTTCAACAGCAGTAGGACCTGCTGAGACACTTTATAACGATTCCCATCCCCTTAACATTATTCTTCATCAATATTTTAGAAGTTTCTGTACTCAGTACTGTATAAGGTAACATTTGTCAGAAAAGTACAACACACAAAATAAAAGATAATGAGCTGATCAGAGAGAAAAATTGAAAGAAAAGCAAGCTCTGAGCAAATTTATAAGTGCTGCATGCAGAACAATTCAGTTCAACGTTTCCAAGATGATTTTAAAACGAATTAGGTAATGTCTACAGAAGAGTTTCAGAAAGTTGCATGTGGCATATGGAAATTATTAAATAGTAAAGCATTTGGAAATGAAGTTATGAATGATGTGAAATTTTTAAACTAAAAAAGATGTGAGCAAGCTACACAGATCACTTGAAACATTTCCTTCTTCACTCTCCCCCTGAAAGTGACTACACTGCATATTAATTATATCCATTTAATAAATCCCAAATCGCATGCACAGCAGAACAAAGTTCTTATTTTGTGGCAGAGGGCAAGCACAGACCAAGTACAGCTGGAAGGACATTTTAAGTGCAAGAGAACAGAGCAGGTTATGTTGTAAGATATTTTTTAATATGATTTGATCTGCATAAATGACTTCCAGAAGGAAACATAAGATGCTCATGGGTGCTGAATTAAGAATGGGGACATCCTTTTAGCACCAAGACAGACATTAGAGAAGGAGATAAATAATTTAATAAGAATGTAAAAAGTGCAACGTGTAAGAAAGCGCTCTAAAGGAAATTCTTCAGTGTGTTACAATACAAGAGACAAAATGCCAGGGACTTAAATAACAGCGATCAGAACAGCATTAGTCACAGCAGAAAAATAAATATTTCCCTAGCTCCACCCAGATCTGCAGCCAGTCAGCTTCACTGAGGAACTGTGGAGGGAAATCACATCATCCCTTTAAGGTATGTAGCAGCAGATGTGCCCATCTGGCATGGAGGGGATTGTCAAAAGTACACGTGTCCTGTGGAACTCCCACTGAGGTCATATTTCACTCCCTACGGGGGATGGTATCTATCAAGCATAAATTAACATTATATGCAGAAGCAGTGAATGAGCATATAATCTGTGTGATAATTAATGTCAGCCAAATCTCGAGGACTTCATGCAGCACGACTTTGGGAAAATGCCCACTGACATCAAAATTATCATGTCTTTCCAAATTATGCCTCAGATTTCTATATTTCTAACAAACTGACAAAGATGGCACTTTCGATTATTCTAAGATACTACACTTCTAAAATTAACTAACTCAGCAACTGTGATTACTCTGGAAATGTGTTTAAAGAATATGATTTACATTTCTGAAAATGTATTTAAAAATGACAGCAGTTTTCAGTTCACCCTCTTGAGATAAAGGGAAAGGTCAATGACATTTGCTTCAAATGGAAATCCCAATTAGGCTTCCTACATTTATTCTTACACATGATTCATTAAATCACTCATTTCTGTTGCTTTTTGTAACACAAACTCTGCATTGAAAAGATAGTTTATATTCACTAAATGCCTCCATTGATATATCCGATGTCCCACCTTGCATTGCCATAGCTTGTCTCAGACAGAAAGGTCAGGCAGCAGGTAGGGCATTAGAGTGTCAAAAGCAGCTGTGACAGATGCAGAGCAAGCTGTTGTTCAGGTGACATTGACCTCATCTCTTCAACAATACAATTCATTCTAAATATGAAAAGAATCACTGACACTGTACTAAAGAAATAAACCAAGTGAAATGGGCTGTATATTTTTCCAGCAAAGTACTAATGTGTAAGTACTAATTTATCAGCACTGTAACTGACATTGTAATTGTATCTAATTTAAGTGTAAGACAAATTCTATACCGTACGCTCTTCATGTAAAATAACTGAAAAATCAGAAAAACAAACAGACAAACAAAATCAGTAGATGATCAGATTCTGAAGAAAGGGTAAAGAAGTGTACTGCCTAAGAGTCACAAATATTCATTTTGTATGTTTGCTGTATGACCAAAATTTATTCAAGAAAACTTGGTTCCCCACTTCAACTTAGGTAAAAAATCAATTTCATTAGAAGAACACAGAAGTGAAATGATGCTACAAACACAAGAGGTCACAAGCTGTATGTACAGAATATCTTCTCAAATGTATGTTGGGTATATTGTCTTAGTATTTACTTAGATCTGCAGACCACAGAAGCTAAGGTTTATTTATCACAATATCAATTTATTCATAAATTTGATGCGCTCTGGCCCCTGTACAGGCACAATCTCAGATATTATTATTTACTGACAAAGAAGTAGTGATATTTTGTTTCTTTCCTGATTTTCCCCTCAGTATAAGGAGATTATTTCATTATTTAAAACTAAGAAAAGGTTTGGAAAAGAGAATCAATGAATGTGGATGTGTTTGCATATTTCAGAAGAAGAAAAACTTTGTAATGGCATCTCTGCAACACTTAATTCAATAGGATCATTAATGCTACATAAATTCCCATCAGAAGCTGGGAATTAATTTATTTTTGCTTTAGACAAAATCTTTCACAGTATTAGATTTATTTTTTTTTTTAATTTATAGACACATCAAAAAAAGTCAAATACTCTCAAAATTTGAAATCTTTACCTAATCCCATGAATGGCCCACTTTGCAAATTGCCCAGTGCATACTTCTCATAGACATTGTTTGGTACCACTGAGAATTCAATTATGTACCTCAATTTAAGCTACTGTATTTACAACTTCCATTGTGTTCACATAGACCTCAGATGTATTTGTATAAAACTATATGCTCATTCAGCAACTGCTTACTCTACAGCAGTAGAGCATTAAAAATCTAAAGCTCCTCTTGCATTAGTTTGTTTATGGGAAGTTTCTGTCTATTTGTACAAATAACCCCAAACATAATTGCAGAGTAAACCTTTGAAAGCCTGGCTTATTCTGATCGACTTCCTATTCATTTTTAGCCTAAGTAAAAATACACACACTGTATTGTCTCTATTGCTTTATATTCATGTGGCTTCACTGATACTTGTGTAAGTAAGAAAATTTGTTCAGAGTTAAACCAAAGGCACTGGCACTCAAGATGTTTTCCTCATCTTAAATGCCAGTGACTTGAATATCAATAAAGAACCAACCTCTCTAATATCCTCCATGCATCACTCCACTACAACCTTAGAGAATGAAGTAGCTATGGTGACAGTAACTTTTTTTCAGTTCTAAATGCCATGCTCTGGCTTAGCAATTGCTAACCCTTACTGTCTGGAGAACTTTATTGCAAGGAGTGCCTGAGTGCGCCTGCTATTTATCTCTCCTTTATAGCACTTGTCCAAAATTATGTTTAATCAACAATAATCATCATCAATAATAATGTTGTTTACATTCTATATATCCCTAAGGTGTAAGATTCAGACAAATTCAATTCTGAAAAATCTGCTGATTTTATTGAGGGTTCCATCTGACTTTTAAAAATGGTGCTTTGCGCACAGGCACAGTACAAGATTTCAAATGTCTCTCATACGCAAGTATTAGAGGTCACCTATGCAAATAATTTTTGGTGTTTGATTCCATCATAGACCTCAAGCATCTGGCAATAGGTTGAAAAGTCCACTATTCTCAAAGTTTAAAGAAACATTTATCCGAAATAAATAACTCACAGGTGTCTTTTCACAGCGGAATTCTTATTATTACAAAACATGACATGTATATGACAGTGTACAAGACTGTACAGTGCTATGCAATGTACAATAGAAAGGACATTACAACTTACATCAGGCACGAATAGAAATCGGTGACCAGACAGCACAGAGAATAGCAACTGTATCATTTGAGGATAAAAAAATTGCTTTCAAGAACCGAGCTAATGTTTCTCGAAAAGTTTTATCTAGATGTTCTTTTTTTTAATCTTTGAACAGGTAAGTATGTGCTTATGCATGTACATGTGAGATGTGTTATACGATTAAATAAGAACATAAGTATTAACAAAATCATGCAATCTTTATTAAGAGACTTCCAGAACTATGTTGGAATTTTTTGTCCAAACCTGACTCAGTTTAATTTTTGCAGGTCATTAATAAATTATGGCTCACTCCATTTGCAACCCTATGCCACACTGCTTTTATTCCATCTTCCTTAGTAAATATCAGTAGAACTTGCTGACAGCATGCAGCAAAATCAAAATTATTTTCCTCTTTTTCATGTGACGTATGTATTTTTGCAAAACAGCTTGGATTTCTTCTCCTAGCCCTTTTCCTAATTGAGTAGTGGCATCTTTTAAGCAATGAAGTTACCAGTAATCCGTAGATTTTCACATCTGTTAGCTCCTAAGTGACACTTAGATCAGATACGTTTTCTAAATTTCTAGTTTTTTTTGCATTAGAAAACAATGATCCTACAACAAGGTTTCAAGATAAAATGCAGTAATGGAAGTTTACATTAAAATTAATTTTTTAAATGATACACTATTTATGACATTCTCCCTTCCTAAATGCTAAGAAGTGATAAATGGGAGGTAGAAGTCCAAGGAGAGAAAACCCTCCCCTTCCAGATTGTCAGAATGTATGCTTTTCCCGGCTTAAAGGAACAGTACCATCTGGCTGATGTTCAGTATCTATTATTCATGAACTCTGAAGTCAAAATACAAATTACAAGAACACAGAGGACTGAGCACATACAGAAAAACCTTCCATATTTTGGAAAAACATGATCCATTTGAGTAAAAAAAATGATTGATGTCATTCAGAGCCATCTAGTGAACAACATTAAGCTTGGCACCAATCCATGGCTGGTACAGTCCAAATACTAAGAAGCTTGCTGTGGTGTGCTGCAATGTTAAAGCCCCAGCAGGTGTTAGAAAAAGCATGGAAACATGAGGAGAGACTGAAAGGGAGAGGTAAAAAGACAAATAGAGAGTCTGGACAGGATCTAAACAGTTCACAGACTTCTGGAAAGTTTGGATTTGCAGCTCAGACCCATCTCCAGAAAAAAAAGTTTTACTCAGTCCCTGAATAGTTGTTTTCCATCTGTATGCACATAAAACCTGTTATCTGGCTCAGTAAAACCTAATGTATCGCACATACTTCTACATGCTTAAAAGACATACTGAAAGCACTACAGCACTTTTGCAAAAATCAGAACAGAAAGGGGGACTTAGACCAGAAAATGAAAAGAGGTCTGTGGAGAATCTGAGCATAGAAGAGAAAGACAACATTCTGAATAAAAAACAGAGACATTTTAATGCGTCTACGAACTCACAGTTGTGGTGGTAGTAATCTCCTCCGTAACAACCTTCAGCGTATCGACCACTGAGATATATCCCAGACGCCTAGCAATAGCTAAGGCAGTGTTACCATTCTGAAGAGAAAAAGAGAAGGGAAGAGAGAGAGAGAAATGAGAGGGAGGATTGTGATGTGAACCAATGAGATCACTCTCAACACTGCATGAGCCAGCATTTCCATCCAAAACAAGGCGCAGCCTAGGAAAATCACTGTTTTTTTTTTTTTACTGTTACATCTGACTCTGTCTTTGCAACTCCTTTAAGACTATAGCTCTGGTAACCATGGTAACACAACACACACACATCCGCCTGCTAGTCTGAATTTAAAAAAAAAGCGCGGTACGGTTTAACTCTTAGATGGTCAAATTCTACTGTACACAATGTCTTGTCTGCAGAAGTTCATGTTTCATTTTGCATAAACTGCTTTGTATGAGAGAGGCTCTTCTGAAAATAAATAAATAAAATCTTAGGCTTCCACTTTTAGCTGAAACCGTTACAGCTTTATCTGGCACAGTCCCTCTTTGAGGAATACAAGATTATGACTGTATTCTCCACATACAATTCTATTCCTCTTTACAACAAAATTTTACATGCTGTAATAGTACACAAAAGCTAATGATGTACCAAGCATGAAAACCTATATAAGGCTTGGGGGTTGGAAACTGTTTTCCATTTAAATAAACTTATTTGCAGTATACATGCCCATTAGATACATGCTATTCAGTAAACACACATTGAAATGGTAATTCAGTTATTGTTTAGGCATATTTATCTCCAGCTCATCACATAGAACATTAAAATAGGTTGAGAATAAGTATTATTAATTCAAATTTATGAATCTAGAGAGTAAGTTTTCATTTTAAATGAACAGTAATTAAGATTGCCATCTGTCTCACTGCATTTAAAATTCTATTCAACCTGCCTCAAAATAGAGTCCATGGTAATTTATTTCAAGAAGCATTTCCCCCGTAGCAAAAAGCCAGACACAACAGGAAGCAACATTAATGAGCTTCTCACACACAAAAAAATAAAAATACTTCAAGTATCAGAAACTTGCTAAATCATTCACAACTCTTTTGAGGGCATAATTTCCCAGCAGAACTAACCAACATGACTGGCAGCCAGTTCAGCCTAAGTGTCTGCAGAGGCTGCTCTAAGTCATATGGCTCTGTGTGATGTGGCAGTCCTTCAGCCTGCAATACTCAGCTTGGGAAGTGGAGAGAAGGGGCATATTCCATGATTCTTCATACAGAGTTGCACCTCAAATTGTTTTATATTATTTTGAATTAAAGAACAACATGCTGGCCTACTAGGGGAGACATGGATTTCTCTTGCGATACCACTGCTCTGTGTGCAGAATATCAGCCTGAGACCTTCTCTCTCCTTCAGTACCAGGTTGACTTATCTACAATTTAAGTTCCTGAGCATTAGACTACTTCAGCAACTGTAAGGCAACCCAGGGTTTATGAGTTAACAGCACAAAAAGAACTGGTAAGGATCTTCACAGAACAAATAACATCACTGTTACTGTCACTTACACATTAACATCCCATATCCCACTGCCATAGCCCCTAGTCAGCTGCTGCAGGTTGAAATTTTCTTACATCAACTTAGAAGTAGCAATGTGTGAACAACAGAGTTAGTACCTGTAAAGGCATGCCAACTGCTGGGCAGAGCCTTGAGACTTTCCTTGGATTTGGGTAAGAGTTGGCTTAACAGCCCAAACTAGAAGACTGAACACTGAAGGTGCCTAGTAGAACCTTCAGTCCCAGAAGCTGACTGCAAGGGTTTCTTGCTTGACAATAAGCACGATCTAGGATCTTTGATACATGACTTGAATATTGAGATATTGTATCATGGCACGTAAACTGCTATCTTAGATTACTTCACAAAAGATTATTCCATGCAGTTGGAATAATGGTAACCTGGGCAACTCTGGGGAAGGACACGTGTTTTGAACTTCCAGGATGCATTTTCAACATTGTCCAAGTAGGGGACAATAACAACATCAATATGAAACAGGAAAGTTGCATTCCTAGCTGGCATTAGAAAAGGCTGTGTCAGAAGTTACTGATGGTCTTTGCATTAACACCAATGAACTTCCTAAGAATCTGAAACAGAGATCCAATGGAGAGGGAGACAGCAATTTGGATTTCAAAGATACCCAGGTTCTGATTTACCCTTAATTTTTATACAAAAATCCTTGCAATATATCAATTTTGAGACAGAAGTATCGAGGCAGAAGGCAATTAAACCAAGTAGGTATGGCCAGCCTGGCACTGCAACTCAGAAAGCAGTTTCTTCATCTCACGTTTAGCTTACTGCAGTGAGTTGTAAATGAACTGTCCTGTGAGTATAATGAAAAGAAGAAGGAACATTACATTTACACATCTGACAAATAGATGTACGAAGAAAACTTTCACCAAATCAAAGGTTTGCTCTTTAGCCCTAGAAAGAAAGGAACTATCCAGAGAAACACTTCCCACACACACTTCACACTTACGGTAGTGATCGCATTGGGCTTAGCTCCATGTTGGAGAAGGACATTAATGATGTGAGTGTGACCTTGTTGAGCAGCTTGGTGGAGAGGAGTGTACCCATTCTGTAATCCATGGTGGTTACCATAAAAGCAAATAAAGAAGAAAAACAATCACCAGCAATTAGATTAGAAAATTTGATTTGCATAATTCTGCTCTTTTTCAGATATTTCAAAAAGAAATTAAGCCACCAATTGAAATGAAGATAATAAATCTACAGTAATAATAATAGTCGATTACTAGATTAATGAAAACATAAGGATAATATTTTTATTCACATGTTATCTAACATCTCATGCTGTAATCCAATTTCTGGAAAGATAAATAATTCCTCATTTTCTAAATCAGAATTAGGAACAATGAGTAGCAGAAAATTTAGTTGGCACACTAGACATACAGAATCATAGCTGAAGCAGAGAACATTCTCTTCTTCTCACATCTTTGTTTTCCTACAGGAGGCCTAAGATTTGCCTTCGAAATATTTGAGACAATGTAAAGATATATAATTTTTAACAGCAGTGATTCAATAACATTTGCTTTTTAGAAAAGCTACCAGCATCCATCTATTAAAAATGTCAATCAACGTTAGCTTTATCTTGACATCAAAAGGCCTGACCAAGCTGTAATTATTCAGAAAAATATGTGCAAAACTTCTGTATTAACAAATACGCTTAACTCCATATATTTATCTGTTCCAGAGATTAATTCTGTGTTACTCGATACAGAATCACAGCAAAAGTGCACTTCAGCTAATTGATTTAAGGTGGTTTTGTGCAAACTCAGTCAAGCAATTCATCACAAAATACTTGAAATTGGTTTGAGAGCAAGTGGAAACTATGGTGAGAAAACACCAAGTCAGTTTCAGTGGACACTTAGATACAGCCTGAGGGCAGACTCTGAGAGGCACACTCAGTTATCTCTTATGCAACTCAACATATGTAAGTAATGCTTTATGCTACTAATTAAACAGTGATAGTTTGGAACAGATACAGTTCTCATAATTACAAAATACACACATGGACTAACAAATTAAAGGGGGATTTTACTGTAAATTGTATAGCAAAGAAAATTTACTATCTTAAATATCAGTGCAATCATTTAAAAACAGAACTCAGCAGTATTATTTTTCAATGGAGACGGCATAAAGCATCCTGGAGGCACTAGAGGTTATTTATTCTGTAACATGCCTATCCTGAATCCAGCCAGCATTGATTCACTCTTTAAACTGAGTCCACAGTAATGGTTGACAGATTGCCCTTATTTTTATTGGTCTCTTGACATGAGACTTGGAGAATCACTGCCCCATACTGCCATACTTGTCTACTTTAATGAAATTTTTCTAAATAAGAGGAACTAGTGTCAGAATCTGGTCCAGTGGCCCAAATACAGAGAGTGGGGCTTAACACTAAACATGCAAGTATGTATCCCTTTAGTTAGCCTACAAACACCTCAGCTGAATGTTTTGGCAGCTACAATTAGGATCCTGCTAATGTGTGCTTTATTAATTCTTACCAGCTGTTTTTCTGATAGCATTGCCAGTTCTTTTGGAATCTCTGTTTTTTATTCATTGATTTGGGGTGATCTAAAGAAAGATGGGCCAGCATATTTTTTTTAATTGGCTCTGCTACTTGCTTCTATTCTTGTTGACAGTGACCACTGCAGTGAAACAGTCATACTCAGACAAATGAATCCATCACACAGATGACAGCTGGGAACAGAAAAGCTGGCCAGAATGACCAGTAGCTTATGATCTGGTATGGATTTTACAAATACTAAGTACATTTATCAGCAATATCAACAAATTTTTTCATTCTGATCCCAAGAGATCCAATATGAAAACTAGAAATAAGCTATTGCGTGATATCAGCTTTAACTATGCTGAAGGGTAGCTTTCTGCTGAAGCTCCAAGGTAGCCTTCACTTCCTGGATAAGAGTGATGTGATAACATCTTTGGTGCAGCACAATGATGTAATCACCAGAACCTCTGTTTTTGTATACTCAGGAGATATAAACTTCTTGATCCACAAGGCATGACATTTTTTTGTTATGTACACCAGTTTACATTGGAAAAAATTGCTAAATCCTGTGGATTACACTCAGTATTTGGCTACATACAGTTCAGTGCACTTCAGCAGAATCGGTCGATAATAGCATAACCAGCTCCCCGTCAAAAAAATCCAAACCTGTCCTGAGTAAGATGCATTCTCCCACTGTTGATGTTTCCTTTATCAAAGTCATGTCACACATGCTTTGATTGTGAGTAATTTTTCCCACTCTGCTCCCAACAGATCAGAGAGAATCTGGAATCACCCAGTTTCTGAATTGTATTTGGCAATACATCGGCATTACACTACGTAAGCCATGTGTGAATGAAATCAGAAATAAACTTGTTAGTTGCAAATGAAAAGAAGGAGAAAACAACAGATAAAACTGCAACAACAATGAAAAAAATACCAATTTCCCTACATAATCCCAAAGAGTTATCTGACTTTTCTTTTGTGAACATTGAACAAGGTGATGCAGCAGACACAATGCATTCCACTATATATATCAAAACATGTTGACTTCTACCACTCAATAATTACAGTTTCCTACTTAGTGGTATGTATCACTAGCATTTGGTTAACAAGTTCACATTAAGAGCACAAGAAAGCAATGAAAAATTATTTACCTTTGTTTTAGCATTGACATTTGCTCCCTCCTTGAGAAGAAAATTCACCATTTTTATGTTTCCATAGTGACATGCCACAATTAAAGGTGTATAACCAAGCTACAAGAGAACATAGAAATAGAACCGCAAGCTCAGTAGAATATTCCTTTATGATGATAGCATCCTTTGGCACACTGGAGACAAGTAGCCACTAAATGACTTACCTTTGTCTGAGCATCTTGGTTTGCACCATGTTTTGTGAGTATTTCAGCTACATTCACCTTATCCTCTTGAGCTGCAAGGTGTAAGGATGTCAGTCCAGTCTGAAATGGAATATATAATATAAATGAATAAATAAATAAAACCTTCTTCAGATTACAAATCTATCCTTTCTCACTTTCTTATCTTTAGAGACTCTAACTATAACTTCTAAATATATGTTTTAAACAAAGTAGAGTTCATGCTTCTTTTGTCTGGCTGACAAACAGCTCCACAGAAATTACATCACCATAACAACAAAGTAAATGTTTCAGGCATCAATGATCACACTTGGATTTCATAGTATAATGTCACTAAGGAAGCTGAGAGTCCCATTAATAAATTAGCGTGCTGTGCTTCCCACTCCTCAGATGGGAGAGGGAACCTTAACAACTGCAGGCAAGAGTCCGAATGAAGAAATTAACCCCGAAACAGATCCCACTCAAAGATGCCAAGGAAACGGATACAGTAATTAACTGAAAGCTCACTGTGATCACACATGGCCATGAACAAGGACGGGAATACACTTTTTGAGAGAAATAAGAACTACACTTTCTTATTGGTTATACAGTATATTACATTAACTCTAGATAATGAGAGACTTGAGTCATTCACTTTGACTTGTATGAACAAAAACTACAGGCTTTCAATTTAAGGTAAATAAAATTTATGTATATACCTGTACAAATCTGGTGAGCTATGAAAATACAGGTTTTCTCTACACTTATCTTCTATGTAGGCCCATCAAGTATAACCATAGGAGATCCAAAGGATTGGACAGATCCTCCAGAGCAGGTTTTTTTCCCCTCACTGCTCCACTCATACTGTTGTTATTTGTCACTCATTTCCTCACCTTGGCAAGATGACTAAAGAGTAAGATATACGATAATAAAGAGCCTTTGCTGCACTAAATTATTTTGGACTGCGGCTCTCAGGTTTCTGTTATATGTAATTAAATCAACCCACAGACCCTCAAACTCCAGAATTTTACATTCCTCATCCTTTGGATCTAATGTAAAATTTGAGGAACATGCCTGAAACAGCTAAGAGATGGCAAGGTTGCAACACAACAAAAATGCAGCTGTCTCATCTTTCTGAAAGCCTTAGAAACCATTTTACCTAGCCTCTTTTGTCCTGTTACCTCTTCACCTGAGCAGGTGGTACACCATTTTTCTCTGGTCACAGCAAACAGCTGCACCTCCTCTAGTGGGCTATCCAGAAAAGTTATTAATTACATGATACAGGTCAACTGATCAATATATCTGCCATTCCTACGTATCCTCTCCTCACTTCTATTGTTTCCCCACTTATGTCACTTCTGCAGACACTCAAATATGCATACAAGGAAGTGGAGAATTTCTGAGAGCATGACCTCATTCCCACACTGTTTTTGGATTTTCCTGGATACTCTTGACATAGATAGCACTTTGTCTTCAGCTGTGAGTTACCTTTGTTGCCACATGGATATTGGATCCTTTCTCCAAAAGCAAGGTCACCATGTCTGTGTGACCTTCTTGGGAGGCTAAATGAAGTGGCGTCACTCCCTGTTTGGTCAAAATGTTGGTCTCAGCCCCATAGTTCAACAGCGTGGTAGCTATCTGCATCTGATTTTTCTTGGCAGCAATGTGTAGAGGGGTGTATCCATTCTAACACAGGTTAGGAAACAAAATGAGAGTAACGTTAATAAAAGCGCCATGTAAGACTAAAAAGTCAGACACACCTTAGAACTATATTATTTTCAGTTACTTCTTATGATTAGAGTTGGGAGTCCACTATATTTTCAACACCAGGCATGCTTTTGCAATCTATTATTTTGTCCATACCAACCAGAAAAAGCAGGCTCTTGCTGGGGCAGACAGGACTTCTTAATCTGATAACTTCAAATTACCCTGCATTTGAAACCTATGTTTTGAATATCCTATGTTGTAAATACTCACTTTTGAGTGATGCTCCCTGTGACAAGCAATGGGTGCACACTCTTCATTACATTATGTGTTTTAGGACTGCATGGGTAAAGGTGTGTCTGCATAAGGAATTTTGATACGTCAGACATAGTTCTGGCTAGAACCAGTAATATGGAATAATGTTATTCTGATCAAATTGACCATTTAAGCAAAGCATTATTGGTACTCTGAGAACAAGACAACTTCCATCTTTAATCGCTTTAGAAAGCACTAAGTGGGAAAATTTAGAATCAGAGAATATCATGAGAATAGATTACATCAGACAGTCTCTGTGGAGATGTTGGTTGGTCTGTATCTTCTTAAAAGGGAGCTTCACCAAGCTATCCAATTGCAACTGTACCTTTTGCCACCTTTCTTGCACATCAATGTAAAAAGGATGGATCCCATTTTCTAGCAGCATGGAAAACAGCAGTTCCTTACGGGACAGAACATGCCGAAGACAGCATAAATTCTCATTATTCTTCCCTTTTGGTAGCCTTTGCCTAACACAGTGAAATCATAACACTATTTCCAATCCCAGAATGAATTCTACATGTACGTGGTTATAATATACACATTGTTTCTAATATTACAGAACACTAAAGTAAGTTCCAACTATGACTAAAGCTCACAAAATAAAATAAAATGAGCAAAGAGAGGCATAAATATGCATGCATACACATATGTAGCTCTTTTTCAAGGAAGGTTTGGAAGAACCATCATTTGTGCAGTTGGGTGGTTATTCATATGAGATTGCTCAGGGTCTGGCCTAGTCGCATTTCTACCACTTCCAAGGATCCCATGGCCCTGAGGACAACCTGTTCCAACACTCGGTCATCTACACTTGTTTATTTGTTTGTTTGGGGTTTGCTGTTGTGTTTTTTTGTTTTTTTTTTTTTATTATTTTACATTGAATTGAAACTTTCCACATGGAACTAGCACTGGCTACAGTATCAAAGGAGGTTGTGGCCAGGCTGCCCTCTCATGAGGGTGTTAGACATGGTGCTGCCTCCTGCTCTCCATGAAAGAGAAAAGCAGCAGGAAGGAACGGTAGGAAGGAGAGAGGAAAGAAGGAAGGGAAGCTTAGACGTGTACTTTTTACTAAGTAAAAACTGGCTGGATGTCAAGGCCCAAAAAATGGTGGCGAACAGAGGTCAATCCAACTGGTGACCAGTCACTAGGGGTGTTCCTCAGGGGTCAGTATTAGGGCCAGTCCTGTTTAATAACTTTACTAATGATCTGGATGAGAGGATTGAATGCACCTTCATTAAATTTGCAATGACACCAAGTTGGGAGGATGCACTGATCTGCCTGAGGGCAGAAAGGCCCTATGGAGGGACCTGGACAGACTGATTACTGGCATGAGGCCAGCAGGATGAAGTTCAACAAGACTAAATGTCAGGTCTGGCACTTTGTTTGCAACAACCCAATGTAACACTACAGGTTCGGGGCAGAGTGGCTGGAAGGCTTTGTGGGAGTAAAGAATTTGGGGGTTTTGGCTCAACATGAGTTGGCAAATTGCCCAGGTGTCTGAGAAGGCCAATGGCATCCTGGCTTGTATCAGAAATAGTGCATCCAGCAGGAACACGGAGGTGATCATCCCTCTGTACTCAGCACTGGTGAGGCCGCACCTTGAGTGCTGTGTTCAGTTTTGGGTCCCTCACTACAAGACAGACACTGAGGCCCTGGCGCATCCAGAGAAGGGCAACAAAACCAGTGAGGAGTCTGGAGCACAGGTCTTATGAGGAGCAACTGAGGGAGCTGGGATTGTTTAGACTGGAGAAGAGGAGGCTCAGGGGAGACCTCATGGCTCTCAACAACTCCTGAAGGGATATCGTGCTGAAGTAGGGGTCAGCCTCTTCTCCCACGTAACAGTGATAGGATGAGAGGGAATGGCCTCAGGTTGTGCCAGGGAAGGTTCAGGATGGATATCAGGAAGAATTTCTTCTCAGAATGAGTGGTGAGGTATTGGAACAGGCTGCCCAGGTGGAGTCACCACCCTGGAGGTGCTCAAGGAAAGGGTAGAAGTGGCACTGGGGGACGTGGTTTAGTGTAGTGATGAGCAGCCGGTTGGACTGGAAAACCTTAACAGTGCCTTCCAATCCCAGAGATGCTATGACTGCACGAGCAGGGCGGCGCGGCCGTTGGGGCGGAGCTCACCTTGGCGGTCGCGTGGGGCGAAGCGCCCTTCTCCAGCAACAGCAGCGCCACCTTCTGGTTGTCGTAATGGGCCGCCACGTGCAGGGGCGTGAGGCCGTTCTGTAAGGGCGGTTAGGGGCGTTAGTGCGGGAGGGTACCAGCGGGACCCCGAGCGCGGGGCGGCGGTTAATGTTAGTGACCAGAAGTCACAGGCAGTGGCTGTTTAATGCGGTGAAGAGCAGCTGAGGGTGAGCCTTGGCGGCCCTGCTTGATGTGGCCACCAGCGTGTTTCCATCTCCCCCAACCCTGTGAGAACCAGTTCCCACAGCACAGAGCAAAAAACGGCCTTACCCCTGGGTTTTTGATTTATGATTTTTGATTTATGATTTCAACAGTTTGGAAATTCCTATGAAATCAGTATTTCTGGAGCCACAGAAACGTCTTTGTCCTCTGTGCTGCCCATTGCATAACCCTCCTGTAGGGAACCTAAACCCAGCGCTCAGCACCGCAGCCTCCAATGCTATCAGAGACAACTGACAGCCTTGGGAGGGCGTGATCTTAATAAAGCTAACACCACCATATGAAAGTGGCTGCAGGCTTCCTTTGTATGCACGTTTTGCCAAGTAAGATCCCAAAATGCTGCTAATTTTTGTTTCTTTCTGCTTAGTACCTTGCCGGCTGAATCAGGAGAGGCACGACGCTGCAGGAGGAGCTTTGCCACTTCCAGGCTCCCGTATTTGGCTGCCACATGCAAAGGTGTGAATCCCTTCTGAAAAATTTCAGGAGGCAGAAGCAAATGTTTGTGTTAAAAAGCATGCTGACACCTTCCTTTCGAGAGATATGTTATTAAACAAGTTGGTAATTCTTTGACCTATACTCAAGCTGCCAGAATCAATAGCCTAATGGTGAAATAGCATCATCTCTTAAAAGCATTTTGAGAACCATGAAATACAAAATAAGTTTTCCTCTTTCATTATTCTTTCCCATGTATGTGGTGGCAGAGTGGCATATAGTTTATCTGATACAGATTCTACTAGCAACATAATGCTATGTGAGCAAGGAAGGCACTTGTTCAAATTTCTATTCCAAACCTGCTCCATTATTATTTATTTTTTTTAGCTTTCTGATAACAGTTGTAGAAATATTTCCTGCGTCAGTTGGTGCCAGTAACAATGAAACACCAATTACATTCAGCGAGAAAAGTTTCAAACTTTGTGTTCATTCTTTAGAGAGCTTGTTGAAGAATTTCAACTTGGTCTTTTTTTTTTTTTTTTTTTTTTTTTTTTAAATCAACAGTCTCTGCTGGAGCCTCTGAACTTCAGCTAAAAACATCACTACCTGACTCAATAGCAGTGGCATGACAAAAATCTTGCAGTTTTGAAAGAGCACTTTTCTATTTGTTTTAGTAACGCATATCAGTGATGCACAGACGTAAGGTCTATGAAAAACTAATGTGCAGTTCACCTACTCTTTCAATTTTAAAAATCAAGCTGATAAGGAAAACAGTAGGTGGCAGACTACACTGTTGTTCTGACTGTAATTCCAGGTAGCTGCAAATACCTATTTGCATGACACGTAAGCAATGTGTAATGCTTATCATCAACTTGTTCCAGAAATCCCACCTCAACAGGAGTTTATGTTAGGAAATCTCAAACATTTCCAGCTCATGAATCAAAGGTTTGTAGAAAGATTATCTGGAGGGTTACATCTTCCCCTATTCATAATTATAGAATGTTTCTGCAGTACTAAAAGTAAATGTCACAAAGCAGTGTGGAAAACTGAGAAAGTATTTAGTGTATTTTTAGCCATTTTTATGTGATTTAACAGACAAATAAAAGGACAACAGCAAGCATGCCCAGTAATCCATAGATCATAATTTCAGAATTGCTGCTTTAGTCCTCTAAACCCCAGAAAACATCAAATTCTTCAAAAATACATTTTAAGCTCCCTCTGTAAAATCAGAGGTACTACTTAATCACATGTGATACATTAGAAAGAAATACCTTGGCACATAATTCTAGTTACAGTATCTATTTTCTTATATGTTTAGCACTCCATTAGGAATGTATTGGTAGCCATTTTTTGCTAACAAAACAATAATATTCTACAGACTATTTCTTTTACAAGTTTAGAAAAATGGTCCATTGGGTCATGTGATATCTTGCTTATAGAACTGCTGAATATCAGAATTAGATGAGACTGAAGAGATACTGAATTGTATAAACAAACATTTAGGAACAATCATTTAATATAGACAGAATTATTTTACTGTTTAAATAAACAAAGTATTGAAAAATAAACAGACTTGTTGATTAGGAAAAATAATTTGCTACCTTCCCTCAAATCTGCACTTTCTAGTTTGAAAATTTTGACAAAAGCCCTGTCCGTAACACAATGGCAAAGAGTTACATGGGAGGACTTCATTTATATTTTAAGCTTGTTATAGCCCTGTATTTATCATGACCTGAATTTGGCTCCAGTAGGATCCAAACTCTCCACTTCAGATGACAGCAAAAACTGTCAAAACTCAATCAATGTCTGATACATTACTTCAGTTTACTGGATTGCTGTTGATTAAATAGGAACAAAACATGATGCAAAGTAGCTCAGTTTCTCAGCGTGAAAGTACATCCCTCATGAAACAGGCATGCTCAAGCATACACTGCTTATACTGCTAGAGTACAGCCACAAAGCATTCTGACTTACTTTGGTGGACATGGAGTGCGAGGCACCTGCCTCTAGGAGAACTGATGCAACATCAACTTGTCCCTCTCTGGCAGAGATGTGCAGTGGAGTGTATCCATTAGTTGTTGCAGCATCAGGGTGGGCCATGTGCTGTAGAAGAAGCTGGACAATCTCTGTTTTACCCAAGCGAGAGGCGATGTGCAGTGGAGTCTGTTCTTCCTACAACTCAAATCAAGCAGAGAATTAGAGCAGGTAGAACTATTCTGAACCCAATATCATGTTTTATACTAATAAACATTTCTATGCATTTGTCTTGGAAAAATACTAAGCAACAGCACAAAAAAGCAGTAGAAGAGGGCAGGTTAATTTTTCGGATGAGATTCAGCTTATAACAGAAAGAGAAGTAACACAAAGGAAAACATTATTTTTCTTGTCTCAGTAAGATGACGCGTAGCTCCCCCCTCACTTGCTCTCTTTTGTGTTCTTAATTTGTTATACACCAGCTACCTTGCTCTGGAAATGATTTATGTTTTTATAATCTAGTACTAACTGCTATCAGAATGCCTGATGTTTGGATTTAGGATATTGCTGTGTACCTTCTCACTTAGATGGAACAGCTGCTGCTGGTCTGAATCAGGCATATTGTACTGAGTCTGCCTGGGACTGGGGGTAATTTTCTTCTAGCAGCTCATATGGTGCTGTGTTTTAGATTTGTGACCAAAATGGGGTTGCTAACACACCAGTTTACCAGGTTTAGGTATTCCTGAGCAGCGCTTGCACAGTGTCAAGGCCTTCTTAGCTGGAAGGTGACACAGCCAGGACAGCTGGTCTGAATGGACCAAGAAGATAATTCATTCCCTGTAATGTCATACCTAGTAATAAAACTAGAGGGTGAGCTTTTCCAAAAGAGCTGTTGCTTGGAGACAGGCTGAGCACCAATCTGCTTGTGGGAGGTGGTGAATGATTGCCTTTGCATCACTTGCAGGGGGACAGGGCTTGTTTTGTTCTGTGTTTATACTGTTCTGCTGTTATTTTTTTCCCTTTTTTCTTCACTCATTAAACTGCTTTTATCTCAACCCAAGAGTTTCAATCACTTTTTACCTTTTAATTGTCTACCCTGATCTCACGAGGAAAGAACAAGCAACTGCATGAAGACTGAGTCAGAATGACCAGCTAGGCAGGGTCAACCCACTGCACACATTCTATTTGAAACATCCATGCAGAAATACGTTGCTGCTTTTGGAACTATTTAAGATTTGTTTAGTGTTGAATTCACAGATTATATAAAAATGAAATTAATTCTCCTTTGGTTCCCTGCTTCAGCTATATTTTTTAGTAAGAAAAAGCAAAAAAAAAGCTGTGAGCAGAACACCTACCCTGGCTCGAGCGTCAACTAGGGCCCCATTTCTCAGGAGACAACGAACTACTTCCACCTGCCCGGCACGTGCTGCCATGTGCAGTGCAGTTTCTCCACGCTGCAGAAAAGTAAAAAATTTTCAATGTCTTAAACCTCCATGAAGAAATAGAGCTCTGCATTTCTGCCAGCTGAGACAGGGAGCTAAGAACAGTGCATGCATACATGTGCCAAACCTGGGTAGTCTATGGTTTGCAAATTCAGTGAACCTGGACAAAAATTATTTATACAGTATTCCACCTCTTACACTTGCCTGGTCACATATGTTCCTCAGCTTTCTATACACAGGTGCATCAGCTCGTGCTGATGTACACTGAACATTATCTCTTTGTACAATTGTACAGTGAACCTGTGTCTTTCAAGGGATTGTGAGGCACACAAGCCTCAAAATGGAAGGGGATTTTTCTCCAGATGGTCTCTTTCTGCACACTGTGTGGAGCTGGCAGCTTTAAAATGCCTTGCAGCAACTGTGCACAACTGAGCCAGCATATGAAACGTGTAAAATCTGTGCTCAGCAGCACAGATCTGTCTGTAGGCTATGAAATGAATCTTGCTTCAAGCCTTCTACAGCAAACAGAATTTGAAGGAGCATATGAAATTCTGGAAGGCTAACTGGAGTGATGTTGAATTTCAGATTGTGATAACAAAGTACAGGTGACACATTTGAAGCATTTACTTTTTGCATAGGTTTGCAAAGAAACACTGAAAGTGACTACTCCTTGATAATGCTATTTTCTAGCTGAATTTTGCACAGTTCAACATTTTTTGAGCTCAGTGTCATAAAGTGGACTAAAATAGTCCCTGTGCAGTTCACTGGTATCTGACACATAAGGCGCTGGGACAGTTCTGCAATCCAGAACTCAGCATATATCTGTTAAGTATGACAACACAGCAAGAGTGATCATTTCTATCTATTAGGATTTTTTTTTCTTCTCACTACAGAACTGGATTATGTTATTACTGTGACTGTCAAGTTAAACTGTAAGTGCCAAACTGAACACTCTTGTCAAGATCTTTTGTGTCAGAGATCAGGTCTTCTCAACCTTCTGCACAGAGATAGCAAAAAGAAGTAACCTGAGTTTGCCTCCTGTTATGAACTCAAAGCAAACCCTCTGGACATTTATTTGATTTACCAACGATCAATTTAAAATTAATGTTGGATCATTATCTGTGATTAGTAAGTAGGCAACAAACAAAATCTCACGGCCTCTGTTACAAACCATAATGCAGAATCTACGTAAACATTATTACCTGAAGAATGAACTGCTTAAAATGAGAATAATTTTTACATTTTTCACAATCTAATGATCAAGTTTCTATGAATACCCTTTTATACCTGAGTTAACAACACAATTCAGCTTTTGGAAGCAGTTAGAAATCCAGGTTTTATGTATGGATTGCTTTTACAAGAAATAGAAAGCAGTAAAACGTTTTATCAAGAAGAATCTGTCCAAATGATTCAAGCAAACATTGGTATACGTAACACTGTCACTAAGCTCCATATAAGATTTTTCTGTCAGGAAAAACTAATAAGCCAGCGTACCTGAATTAATAACTTTTTTGTGTTATTTTCTTCTTGGGAACACTTATTTATAACTTTACTGGTAAAGAACTGCTTTTAACAAGCAGATAGATTGTCAAAAGTTAAATATTTGTTTATAATGACAAATTCAAACAGTAAGATATCTGTGAAATACAACTTAGGAAATCATGTTCTTTTGACGGTTATTATTCCTGGTAACTAGGCTAGTGGTATACAAACACATCCATTATTCTATGATAAGTCAGGTTCTGCATTTCGTTACCTCCCAAAGGTCACATTTGCCAAGATTAAATATGTTCTTTTGCAAGGCACTAATCCCTGGAATTTCCTGTATAAAAGGAACATCTTGAATTTAATATTTTAACTTCTTGTTTAATTAGGTTTAAGCATTTAATACCCTCCTTTTAATACAAATGACACAATTTCATTATGGCCAGCAAGGTTTTGCAAGTAGAAATTAGAGCCGCTTGGAGATAAATTTCATCATTCTCAATTGACTTGGTTTATAATCAGCTTGCAATGTATTTGGTGAGCTTTGACTGTTTTTAAGGGAATTTTACCTACTCAGGCATTGCAGGAGAGTACACAAAACCAAAAGTATCTTACAATGCCTATACAGTAGTTATTTTCCCCTCTTCACTGTTTGGGAAAGGTGCTAGCATAATTTGTCCTAACACAGAATAAAGTAATTAAGTATCATTAAAATGTGACCTTTGTTTGCACCGCATGGACCCTTTTGTAGCGAGCATCACACAGATGATTCTAGTCAAAGCCATACTCACAATGTTAGTGACATCGGGAGAGGCTCCGTTCTGCAGCAGAAGGAGGACTATGTTCAAGTGGCCCATAAATGCAGCCACATGTATTGGTGTGAGGCCCGACTGCGAAACAAAGCAAGAGCAGTTTTACTCCTCTGCACGAGCGTAGGGGAGGGGCTTCTTCGTTTAAATAAACATAAGCGAAGGTGAGGCATGACAGGAAAGAGAAAAAAAGAAGCAAAAAAGGAGAAAGAGAAGGAATGTTTCTTCAGGGTATGAAACATTTTTCTACCTCCGTTATAGCCTGGATTGAAGCCCCATATTTCACCAGGAGTTCCATGACTTTGATGCGATTTTTCTTGCAGGCAATGTGCAGTGGAGTAAAACCATTCTGTGCAAAAGACAGTCATGTTAGTTAAAAACATGCAGCTACACTTTCTACATAGCTCCATGCTGGCACACTGGGAGCAGAAGTGTTAGAGTAGTAGAAGCAATTGTTCTTTAAGCACAAGAGGTTATGAATTACAGAAATCTCCCAGGAGCCTCAAGGAGAACAAAGCAGTGCTGCTGCTTTCTTCTCTAGCAATGGAGAGAAACTGAACTTAGACCTCTCAAAACCAAGTACAGATGTGCCCGTTCTGAGTCACAAAGGTATGCCCATGTGCATGTATGTATGCGGTTCCAAAGACTGCACATATATACGTGTAAGAATAACTTTGAAATCAGTTAGGGTGTTTTGAGATGTATAAAGCACATACTATACCTTTCTAAGAACGGAACAGAGTATTTCTACCAGATTCCATCTTTTTTTTCCTTTATCTTGTAAGCTTATAAACTAAGTATCTATGTATATTAATTTAGTATTTACAAATCAACCTACAGTATACTGTATTCATTTTTAAGTGTTATCTTATATTAATACAAGGTTATCTTATATTAATACCACTATTTCAGCTTTAGCTTCACAATACCAATTCTTTAGTCTTGCTAGATTTGCGGCCCCTCTTCCTTTATTCCTGTAAGCAAGGTATCAGCTCTTGGTATCTGGGTTAAAATTAAATGGGAAGGAGCAGGAACAGGAGAGAATGAGGAGTAGAGAAGGGAACATCTTAAACCAGAGTTGCAGCCTAGAACTTTAAACTGTGAGACAGTAGTTTTAGTGTTTTGCTTACTCTCAGTAGATATTCATTTCTTTCAAAATGTTTATTCAGTAAGACTGGGGCTTTTCCAACAAAGCATGTCTTCACATTGTATACATAATACATGCTTTGACTTCAAGATGTTTTTATGTATTGCTAACACAGGGTAAGTGTGTGCCTAAAGTTAAGGAAACACATTATTCACTGCACATGAACATTTTAGTGAAAAGCACAGATAACTTTTTTTTTTTTTTTTTTTTTTTACAATGTCAACTACTTGCTCTATTTTCTAATAAAAAGGATCAGTACTGATAAACACTCAACTAGTAGTAAATAACTTAGCTTGTAGAAAGAGACACATGACAGTCAGCTTCTGTTAAGAGAAATGTTAATTACTAGTTGTTTTGAAGGAACTTTAAAGCATACAAAAATTGAAAAAGCTGAGAACTCATGAGGTGCTTGTATTCCCACAACATTTTGCAAATATTAATGATTTTTTTAATGTAGTCAAAAATAAGTAATTTATAAAACTTATTCCAACACAGTACTCTCTGCTAAATATTACAAATAACCTTCCCCAGTTTCTTAAGAAGTAATCAAAACCACTATATATTCTAGCTCCTGCATTACATCTTTCAATATATTTCATTAGAACTTTTACTGCTTCAGAAGTTTCCATTTTTTCCACTTAATTTTACTGCCTGAGTTGATTTAACTTTGCTATTTAAGTGAGAAATAGTTTGAATGAGAGTCAGGAAAAGGCTGAAGAAACATTACTAACAAAAATGATGAGCATTCTGAATCTATTAAATACTATAAACAAGCCAGCGGTGACAAGTCCCTACTGTGGGGGGGAAATGAGAGAGAGAAAAAAAATAACACTCTGAAGGTAGGAGAGCAGAGGGCAGTAGCCTGAGGGTGTACTCCTTTCCTTCCAGGATAGATATTTCTCAGGAAGGGAGGAACAGAAGGTATATTCTTGTCATGGAAGGGAAGAAAAAAGATGCGGAGGCTAGCATACAATGTGTCTGTGTGGGCAGCTGAGGAAAGTACAGCTAAAAATAATCAGGAGACTGGCAAGAAAAACTAGATATCAGGATGAAAAACAGCATCGAAGAAAACCAGCAAAATGAAAATGATAATGGGAAGTACCAAAGAAGAAAAACGTAAGAAGAAGAAAGAGGGATTATGAGATTTGCAGGTATAGAAAGGCCATGAGTGATGTGCAAGGAGGCAGGGAAGTGTAAATTCCTTGGGGTTTCAGGCACTATCACAGAAAGAAAAGCACATATTGAAGGCAATAAGCTGAGGAAGATATCAGAGGGGACTGCAGCAAAAAGACTGTGGAAGCACTGAATACAGCAGGTAGTGGTAGAGTTCTTGCCATGCATAGGTGTCAAGTGCTCATAGTCTCATTCTTTCCCTCATCGTATGAATGTAGTGGTATTTCAGGTTCTTCCTGCGAGTTCATGGGGACGCTTCCCATTAGAGAAAGTCTTGTTCAAGTTTGGATAGTTTAGACTCTTGAAAGTTATTTTTTGATTTCTGAAGACAAATGTGATGTTTTTCTCCCAAGAGATAATGGTTTGCGCAGTGAGTGAAAGGAATCGTACCTGTTTTCATGTAAGCATCAGAAGAACTGTTTTTTAAAAAGGAAGAAACATGGCACCTAATACAAGGGACATCATAATTTGTTATAATTTGATAAATATAGACATTTTATAAACATAGGAATTCTAGCTTTTTTATATATTTTCTCCATGCCCATTAGCTTAATGACTCAACTGAAAGCTTTTAAAAGTGTTCTGTGTATCACGTGGCATAATATGAAAAAATAAATTATTAATTCAACAAAATACCAATGTGTAAGTTACCATCACTTACAAATGGTTTTGGGTACTCCATAGAGCTACCAGACCTAAAACTATAGCCACTTGGCACAGGCCTAATGATGCAAGATATAATACTGGCAATAAGCAGATTGTGACAATCACTGTTGTGACAGCAGCTACTCAGGGTTGCTGGAGACTGTTGACAGCTTTCACTTTGCTTTCCTAGTAAGAGCTACTCATGTCCCCTTGGTAGGCTTGTTACATGACACAAGTGTGACAGATTTACCAGGGCACGAGCGTTGGGATTTGCTCTCTTGTCCAGGAGGAGCTTGGTGACACGATAGTGGCCGCAGTGTGCAGCTACGTGGAGAGCAGTCAGGTAGTCCAGCGTCACATCATCCACAGGAGCTTTGTGCTGCAGGAGATGTTTGACACATTCCACGTGGTCCCCCTGGGCCGCCATGTGAAGTGGGGAGAGCCCATTCTGTGGCAAAAAAAAACAGAACGGTAACTTCTAGCATCTCTCACTCAGTGGCACATAAATCAAAGAAAGCTGCCGTGACTTTGCTGAGTACCCTCACCACAGAAAAGAAGCTGCATCTGAGCTGCACTCTGGAAGGCTACAGCCACCCTTCCCCTTCCAGCAAATACAGGGATATTTAAAGAAACAATTCTGCTCTGCTCAATCCTCTGTTGAGATGCTGCCACTGCAACCCTGATATTTTCTCCTGGCTGACAAAATCTGCCTTTGAACACTAACACCTGGGATTCCTTCCTGAAGCACACACAACACATGGGTAGGGTCTGTTCTATGGTGGCCTTCTACCATTTAGTGATGGAGGGCATTAACAGATAGAATTTATCTAATCATATTCTCCCACCAGAGGGATCGGTGAAGCTCTAAGGAACTTTTTTTTAACATCTCAGTGTAGATACTTCCTGTATAAAGAGATGATCTGTACTACTGATGCCGTAAAGGGATATACAGCTTGAGCTTGTATTTGATGTGCATGAAACCCAGTGATAAAATCTCCCCAGAAGATTACTAAGAGAAAATCTTTGTCTCTATTATGGATAACAGTGGCTCAGAGTACAGTAATTATTCTTGTTTAGAGCCATGTTTAAGGAAGTTTGAGGGCCCAGTAACGTGTGCATGGTCTGAAAATGGTATTTCAATTGCCTGTTAATCTTGATCTCCCAAGTATTGCATGTCATTGCAATACTCCATTGCACTGTTTTGCAATTAATGATACCAGTGACATTTGTCAGGCACTCTGAAGTACTGCTCACTGGAGTTTGTTATTAAGCTACAAGTGTCTTTTTCTAAATAGTCTGACCAAAGAGACAGGATATGCATTCATCTGAGATGCATTATTTTCAGATATCAGTACAAACACACTAAAATAACTTTCCAAGTATGAAATAATCCATGAAAATTACAGGTCCTACGTAGTTTATGTCAAGAATCAGAAAATATCTACACAAATCATCTCTCAGGAGTGACTGACACAGCTTTTACATCTTTGTGTTCAATGGCTGTAAGAAGCCACAAAAGTGATTTCAATTGCACTCTATATTGCGTTTAGTCTGAATTTAGTAATGAAGTGTATACTGTTTCACATATTTGGGAAGGATAGTCCCTAATTTAGTAAGAAAGTTTTATTTTTGGATCATTCTCCCCATTACTACCTTTCCTTTAACAGAACAGAAATGTCCTTCTTCCTCATCCTTTCAATAACATTAAATATTCTTTGGAAAGTTACATAGAGCCACTAACATATTCTTCCAATAAGGCACACACCTTGGTCCTTGCAAGGAGTGGGGCACCTCGTTCCAGAAGCAGCTCCACAACTTGGTCATGTCCACTTCTTGCAGCACAGTGGAGCGGTGTGAGTCCATCCTTAAAGCAAAACAAGAGGCAGTGAATGAGCACACCTTCCCTGTGTTCATCCTGGTACTCTGAGCAGCCTATTTTGACTCCTATCTAAAGCTGGCTCCACAGCACAAAGTTTCCTACCCGTTTTTAAATTGTTTCACTGAAGGACACAGTAACATTACCGTTTCAGAAAAGTCCATTCTGTTTTGAAATTTCTTCTCAGAGAGGTTAATGTCAGCATGTATTACCTCCTCTCCTACTCTGCATGGCTTTGAGATTGTATTGCCTCATAGTGTAATGTATGCTGGGCTAAGGTTGCTTCATTAATCAACATTTGTCCTTTGCATTGCTTTTGACACAGGGATGAAATAAGACACATCCATGCTGGAAAATTTACTCTAGAATTCATTTTATTTTTTCCAAATAGGCAGCAGGAAAAAGATGATTTTAAAACAGAAAGGAAAAATAGAAGGAGAAACCAAGAGAATGAAATCTTTCATGTCTGAAATAGAGAACAAAGAGCTAACAATTCTTGCCTAAAATAACTTTGAGAGCTCCAAAATATTTTTTCCACTGCAGAACACTATCTGTATCAAAAGACTTCTTATAACTTGTTTAGTAATGATCACAACAGTGATAACAAAAGATACATCAATGAGACAAGAGAATGCATTCCAGGTAATTCCACTACAGTTAGACTTTTATACAGAAAAAGACTGGAAAAACATAGAAAGAAAAGTGTTTGGGAATGAATATCAGTGCTGAATGACAGAAAAAAAGGAAATTCACAACCCAAGTTTTCATCGCATTAGAATCTGATATTGTTTAAGCATATCCTCATAAAAGTTATCAATACTTGTTCAACAGATACAGTGTTACATTTATAATTGTTAAATGCTAATAGTTTTAATCACAAAAAAGCCTCTTTGAGACAAGCTGGAAGTTTTTTTATTTATAATTGTCATAGATGAAGTGGATGCTATACTCCTGTGCTCTTTCTGAAGAATCCAGTAACAACACAATTATGAGTATGCTTGTCTGTGATAGATTCATGACTTACAGGTCAAAAAAATAGTGAAAATGCAGTAACACAGCCTTTCTTACACATTAGTGACCCTCCTTCACATGCAGACACAGTTTGTCATGCTGGAGTTTGTGGAAATGCTACATCATTTTTACTTCTTCTGCTAACATACTTAAATTAAAAGTAGCTCCATATTGCAACATCATTTTGGTTATCCAAACACAGCCCTATCATGATCCAGAAATGGTACTTCCAAGAAGCAGATCCTCTCTCATCCTCAATTTTATAAGCACAGAGCACCTTTTGGAGTTAGCAGTGCACAAAGCTCCACATCAGTGAGGAACTGAGATCTGGGAAGAATTTTTCTCCCTTATTTATCTACTGTTTGCAGAGATTTTTCAGAAACATGTGGCAGGGTTAGGTGTGCCCTGGCACTTGCTATCTCAGAGACAGTTGCTGCATCACTAAATTCCATGAAAGCTTTGCAATGAAATTCAATGGATGGAAGATCAAACTCAAACAGAATTAAAGCGTGTTCAGTACAAAGTCAATCTGGTCAACGTAAAGGAATTGTATATAGCTAGCTTACCTTGCAACTTGAGAGTACCCAAATCGAGCCTTTAAATATATTTGCATCTCACTGCTGGAGATATTTATACACAATTTTTATTAGCATTGCTAAGGCAAGAATGTTTCAAATGTATTCTAGAAAGGGAATTTATTTGGTATATCTTTCCCATTTCTGGCCTTTTGTACTCTACATTTTAATCAAGATGGAATATTCACACTCCTTATTTGCATAGTGACTTTGATGTTATTCTATTTAATTGAATAGTGAAAAAAAGGTAAAATTGTGATGCCTTAGAGAAAAAAAAATGCCCAGAGGGGAAAAAAAGAACAATACAAGACAAGAAACACTGGACTCCACAAGAAAGTCTAGTTAAAATTAAAGTAAGAACTAAATTGTTAAATAAAAAATAAATTTTTTAAAAAAAGAAAGAAAAACACATTTTTTCTCCTTTGTTCTTAGCTATAATTGCCTGTAAAATAGACTAAAATATCCACCCTATTAGATTTTGTCTTAGATTTTATAAACATGTACATTTACTACCTGTGCACTTCTCTGTAGGCAAATTAAGCAATAAGCTCTGCAGTTTTACCAGGTAACTTCCTTCCCTCTTCCTGCACTAGGTGAAACAGTATGTATATTTTAAAACTTACTGTACACTTAATACTTATTTTCCAAGAGACTTCCTGTTCCTGGCATTCGATTGTTCTGGTATGTGGTACTCGCCTAGCACACGCTGCAATGTACCCAGCAGGTGGGTCACTGCTTGAAACAACACTACAATCCACACTGTATTCAAGGAGGTAATGAAATTTCATCACTTTCACTTTCCTTTTAAATGTTTGCCAAAAAATAAAAATTAAACTTTTGCCTTTTTTTCCTGAAGATCAATCACTGGTCATTTTTTAACCCACAAACCCATTTTTTAATTCCGTGCATGACTCCAAACTGCAAAACTTGGGCAGATAAATTATTAGGTCATGGTAATTAAAATGCTTTCTTTCAGTTTACTAGAAATGCTGAAATAATAAGAATATGCTTTCAAAAGAGTCTTGGGGAAATAGGAAATTGTGTGAGCAGTAGGTCTATCCTAGCAGAAGGAGAGTTTTGCTCATTTGACGCTCATTTGAATGAAAACTGTTGATTGTACTTAAAATTCAAAGGCCAAATTACTGTGGAATTCTTGCAAACTGCAGTTGAATATTGTCATTTGTATGAGGGTGAAATGAAACATTACTATTCTGTATGTTAGACAAGCAAAATGGTCCAAATTTGTTTAACACATAAAGAACTTTCCAAATGCTCATTTTAGCATGACTGTTAAACCACACGTCTTTAAAAAAAAAAAAAAAAAAAGGCAAGCATACCTTTTGTTCTTGTTCTAAGCTCTCGTAGTCTTGATATAATTGAACATGCTCTAAAATATTCCAAGTATGCCCCTCAAAGTAAGGATTTGAAAAATACAGCAAAAACTGTACTACATGTTTGCCTGAGTAATAAAATATTAACTTAAATAACTCTCAGTAATAGTCACCACCTATGCAGCTTGCCTAGATGATCAGTACAACATTATCCCACACTTTGTAAACATTATTTTAATCCACTAAATTTTTTATAGCCAGTGTCTGTATCGTAATTAGATATTTATAATTCAATATTCCTTTAGGAGTGGCAAACACTATGAATGAATTATTAGTGATCTGCCCATTTTCTAAGACCAGGAGAAAATGTCACAGCAGCTTTACTGCAGGAATAAATACTGTAACCAGAGCAATGGTCCAAGACAGTGTTAGGATCTGAGCACAACATGGCTTAGTGACAGGAAGCCCACAACCATTTGTAAATGCAGACAGGCACATCTGTTCTTACAAAAAACAAAACAAAAAAACAAACAAACAAACAAAAAACAAAAAAACCCAACACACAATAGGTTCCTGGAATGAGCGTTAAGGGATGCCCATAGCTCATTCAGCACAATAAATAAATAATCCCAGAGCAAGAAAAATGAAATGTCACTGTTGGCAACATTTAACATAAATAACTCAATTTGTGTGATAACTTCAGCATCTGAGGTAGGAAGTTTCTTCCCACCTTCTGAGGGTGTTTGCATAGTCACACAAAAAAGGAAATATCAGTTAGGTGAAAAGGGCCTGTGAAGAACACTGTGTTTTAAAAGTAAAAAGGGAAACAGAAAACTGAAAAAAGCCTCACAATCTTTCTCTTTTTTTTCTATGCTATATATAAGAGACAGATTGCAAGAACTGCATTCATCAAAGGCTAAGCCCCTCCAACAGTGACATGTCAATCCAATGAAGATATCTGATTACATTCATTGTTACTACCAACGGAAAAAAGCAATAGAAATGTCTACTATTGGCATGCTGAAACTACTCTGTGTAAATGGTAAAATAATTCTCCCTGCAATAACCCTTTGTACATTTCAGTTTTCAGGAAAACTGTAAATGTTTTCCTTCCCTCAAAGTCAGAATTGACAATTGACATATTACTCTTGATCAGATGATATTAACTTAATTGAAATTGATTTCCACCATCTTCTAAAGAGCAAGTTTCTGCACCTGATGCCAAGCCAAACTCTGCTTCTAAAACCCAGATCCACTGGTCTATCATAGCAAGATGGTGCAGGTCAAAGTTTAGCTAAATCTTAACGTATTTTAAAAACATGTCCTGAAGTAAGAACTTATTCAAATGAAATTTTAGAGATTATACAGTTGACTGAAATTTTAAATATGAAATGCTTTTAGCATATGAAATTTTACTTGTAAATCATTTAGCAAACAAAACTCTAGATGAAGCTTTTGTGTAAATTACAAATAACAGAAATGCAAATATAACTGACAGTATTAATAGAAGTTTCCTATCAATACTGTTGGAAATTGAGTTTATATTTTTGTTTTCGATATAATATGAAAGAGAAATGAAATACCACATTTTAAGAATTGATTTAGTGGTTAGTTCAGAAGAATGGTTAAAAAAAAAAATCTGTAAAACATACCAAAAAAAACTTAACAGAAAAACATTGTTTTAAAACATGTAAAGGAAACAAATGGATTTCCTTGCAATTCTGTGCCTTGAGTGAGAAAAAATTGAAAATGTGAAATGTAACAAAACAGAAATAGTTAATTCCTTCAGTAAGTAGAGCTCTTCTCTGACATGCAACATTAACTATGGAACAGTAGGACACATTCATTATTCATTCACTTTGAAGAGCGTACATTTTAATTTGAGTGGAGTTTTCTTTAGACAAAACATCAACTCCTAATAGTCCATTTCAACATTTTCAAGCAGTAGAAGATTTCATGAATTAACTGTGTAAAGCTAAAGGACTTGGACTCAGTTAAGATTTGTTAAAATAACCTTTCACATCTTAAGTTATGCATCATCAAATGTCATGTAAAATGGTATAAAAATAAAATGTATGAAAGCAATGACTACTACTTAAACCAAAGAGCTTATTTTGATACAGTTTGAAGATGGCAAATAAAAGCCCAAGCTATCTGGCTATGAAATAAACGAGTACATTTAATTCCACTGTTTTTCAGTGAATCTGACCTACTGGAAAAATGCAAGGGTTCTTTAAGAGAAATGAAAAGGCAAATATGGAAAGGCAAGCATGTTAGTACTAAGGAGGACAAGGCAGAAGTCTCTCCTTTAAAGCACAATATACACATATGCACACATGCAACACACAACCTACCTCGTCAACACCCTACATACTCACGGCCATAGCAAAGCACAAGGCATGCGGACACAGCAAAGAGAAAAGAAAAAGACACCGAGACTACATAAACAGCTGGCATGGAGACAAGAGCACAGCATGGGGAGACACTGACAGAACCAAAGCCTGGAATCTCCCCCACTGGAAAGCACACACAGCCAACCACCACCACGTGTCTTTGAGCAGAGGGAAGGCAGAAGATGGAAGCAAGAAGAAGCTGCTGAGCCTGTGCAAGCTGGAATATATGTGCTTTAGGACACCTTTATCATTTCCCACTGATATCTTTTTGCTGACAATTTTTGAGATGATATAGCAGCTGACAAAGGGCAGGAAGCCAAGACAATGCAAAGACTCTAAATTTAGAGCCTTCCACCCACACTGGGCAAAGTCTTGTTCTTTCAGTTTAATTCACAACTGCATATTAGCCTTTCCGGGTGTTTGGAGAAGGGAATATAACTTAACCCCATAAAATCCATGAAGTCCTTCACAATCACCTGGGTTAACTTGTCCAAAACAAATATCTAAATACTAAACAAGAAATGGGTGAATACAATACTATCATCCCATAGGCCAAATATACTGTTCCCATATGACTGCTGTGCTTATGCATACGTGGGTTATCCTTACTGCAGCGCATTATCACAGTTTCATGCCTCTTTTTACTATAAGATAATGGAGAATTTGATCAGGGATGATTTACTGCACACCTTCATGAGAGCTTTCATCTTCCATCATGATCAGTTTCAAAAAAAAAAAAAAGATAAATAAGATCAAGAGAGAAATCAGAAATCATATGCACATGCAGAGTTGCATAAGAATTGTGTTTTGTCTTCCTAGCTTATTAAGCAAAAAATAGTTAACAAAATGAATAAAAAAATAACAGCTGCAGCTAAATAAACCATAAGCACAGCTGAATGCGATATTCCCTACTTTTCTACTTTATTAAACAAAAACTATATTGCTCCTTTATACAGCTCTAAACTATTGTGTTCTGAAACATCATCTATTACTTGTAGATAAAACCTTGAAGATCAGTGCTAAAAAACCAGCAGCTTTCCTGGACAAGTCCTGTGATACTCAGTTTGCATTAACAACAACGTTTTCTTAGATGGCTCAAAAATCCAATTTCAAATAATTAATTAATCCTGCACATATAAATTTGTGGGTTTTCCTTTTGCCCTGAATGAATAAAGAGCAAAGTATTACTGTGGCTTAATCCAGAGAAGAGGAGATGCGCTGCTGCAGCAGTGTTAAATTACTTGTTCCTAATATTGACTCTTCAATATTAAGTCCACTAACAGTTTTCCTCCTCATGGTGATTGGAACAAAAAAGCAGGAGTCAGGGGACCAAAAGGCTTAGCTGAGTTTAGATCCCACTGCTGTGTAACTCTTTCCTCAGGAAGGTCAGACTTTCATTGGCATTTACTTGTACAATACAGGCAGAGTATACAGGAGACTGAAGAAAATAGATTTTTTGCCTCCTATTGACATCAATGCCTGCTTTTCTTTGACACCAGAGAAAACAATGTATATAAAATAAATAATCTGGAAACTAAAGGTAGGATTCTGAATAAAAAAGTATTTCTTTTTAAATTATTTTTGGAGTCACCATATAAATTTAGTCCAAGTTTCAAAACAGTATATTTCTGAAGAAGCAGTGTTTAATGTTCTTGAAACTCTGTTCAGCTGAATATTTTTTGGTTTTGGGTTGGGTTGTTGGTTTTTTTTTTTTTTTTGAGTCATTTATAACAGCAGCATCTAACGTCTCAGTTTAAGGACAGAACATATAACACAATTACTGAAGCAGAATGCCTAGCTATGAATCTTGATGTTCCCAGTCTTTGGCTTAAAAAGAAACAAACAAAAAAACCAAGCAAGTAAAAAAATCGCAATCCGTTCCCAAGAAGGGATAACATCATATTCAGGGAATAGAAGCACTCACCCTGGTTTTGGCATCGATCTGCCCTCCACGATCCAACAAGAGCTTCACCATGTTTGTGTTTCCCCTTTTGGAAGCGACATGCAGTGGGGTGATTCCATTCTACACCATGAAAAGAACAAACAATGAGCATGACAGATTTGAAGGTATTTGATGATGGTGAATTTGTGTTTGGTTCACAAAAATGACACAATCACATTAATAGAGAATAAACAAAAACTTACTTGAGCATCAGACCCAGGCACGCACCATATAAGCTAGAGTTAGTAATTCCTTTCTAAGTAAGAGTTTTATTCATTGTTTGATTGTTTCATAAACAAAGCAGCACATCTGCCACAGCAGCAAACATCACAGTCCCAGAGTCAGACAAATAAACAAACATACACCAGATTCCCAATGAGTCAATATTCACAAAACACTGATGCATTTAAATCTTTGCAACACACAGATTACATGAATGCATGAATCCTGCACAAAGTAATCTTATAAGTGTAATGTAAGTAATGTAAAGGAGTAGGTCCTGCTTAGGCTGAAAGTCCTTGCAAATGCTTTGGGTGGGAAAAGAGATAATAGCAGTTCCTCCAGATAGGCAAGAAGAGGAAGTCAGTATGAAAGGCACAACCATAAAGTAATTCAAATTGCACCTGGCAATGCATAATTATCAGAAATTTGTGATCCTGTAGCTTCAGTGATATACAGATGATCAGAGGTTGTTATAGCACCAGATGACATACTTCAAACTAAGCAATGTACATCACTGCATGTAGATGCATAATATAGTCACATGCATAATATAGTCACAGCATGTAGACTATATTATGCAGCTCTGCAGTAGCTTACCTAAAATAGTAGTCTGGGATAAATTAGTATTTATATTGTGGTATGGCAGTGTACCTTACTTTACTATTTCAAAATACGTTTAAATGAGAAAATATCTAAGCAAATTACCATAGCAAATATTGAACCTTTAACAGACAGGAAAAAAAAAACCAATATATTTGTAAAGGGTATCTAACTGACAAGAAAGCTAAAATGAGTTGACACATCCTGAGCATATCAGCACTCTCGAATAAGTCAAAGGAGCCTGCTTCCATCAGCTGGGAATACTGGTTGCTATAAATTCCCAAGGACTCTACTGCGTTGCATGGAGGCAACTTTAAAAAATTAATGAAAAAAAAAAAAGAAAAAAAAAGATCTTTAAACACAACAGAATTTCAGCATTGTTTTGCTCCTCACTTATTCTTAACTAGGAATTACACAAAGATACGCTCCCACCTTCATAGGCCATTACAACTCAAAGAGACAAAAGCCTCTCCATACCCTTGCTGTGAAATCAACTGCAGCTCCTCGGTTTAGCAGAAGCGTTGCCACATTGACGTTTCCATAATGTGCAGCTATGTGCAAAGGTGTAAAGCCACTCTGCAAAAGGAAACAGTCTTTATTTATAGAAATCAATTTATACAATACAATCAACTTCACTAGAACTTGATTTTAAAAGTTGCTGCTAGCAAGTAATTGTGTTTTTATTGAGTAAACCTATGATCTAGCAAAGTCTTTCAGGCAGAGCACGTAGTTTTCATGTGGGAGATTATCAAAAGTGCTTCCTTCTTTTATTTTTTGCAGGCCAATAAGAGGTCAGTAGCTTTCATCACAGAAAACATTAAAATACCATTCATCCTTAAAGAAAATAAAGGGAATTTCCTTATTATAATTCAGTAACAACATGGGGCTTTTAGGCTGCATCTGTTTCAGCAATTTTGCCTAAAAGTCAAGACAAGTTCTTGGACTCCTGTTGTACTCATCAAATAATTACAAATTTTGACAACACATTTCCTTCTTTTTTTAAAAAAAAGAAAGCAGAGGATATTTAATACCAGGAGTTTAGTCTACATGAGAAACTTTGCTAAGCAGACTGGATATTATAAGAACCATAGTTATTTACTTTTTATACTTTTGGATCTCAAAGGATCTGAAGAAACTTTGCAATCTATACATCAGAAAAAGCATGATTTACTTATTGTCTCTTGAGCACTAGAAGGTGAAACATGCTTCATTTACAAGATACAGAATTACTTGACAACACAATAAAAAAGAAAGTAGGACACCCAGCAAGCTTTTAGTCTCATAAGTAATTCAAGCAGAAAGGACCTCGTTTTTTAAGGTTTCCCTGAAGAGTTTTATACTGATTTGATCGGATCTTGCAGTGTTACTGGCAGTTATGGGAAAGAGAAATACTTTTCACTTCTGGGCTGTTCTGTTTGTTCAAATACCTTTCTTTCTTTCAGTGTACCAACTATTATTTTAAACTGCCCATGGAATAAAGAAATGTCTAAATAAGTGCATAAAAATGTAGAATAAAGGCAGATGTTGCACCCTGAAATCAATTTTATTCTTAATAGACCAATCAGCCTATTATTTTAACCTTTTTCCATTAACTGTTTTTTGCTATCTCACAGGTGATCCTGGTCTAAGTAAAATCAGTCATTAAATTCATACAATTGTTGCTGTGGTAAATTACAAGGAAAATGTCTACTGAGGATATAGGCACACAAATACAATACTGTATCAAGTTATAGACTTAATTTATGTTGTATTGATACAACTTCTTGGCACATGTATTTGCTCCGTGACAAATGCAGGGTACTTAGAGGTAACGTAATGGCCAGTGAAAAAGTTGTAAATTGCTTTACATTTACTGTAAGAGAAGAACATGTCCATAGGCAGATGGCAGTGAGAAGCCGTCACCATTTCAATTCCCATTGCAGGCTGCCTCATAGCAATTTGCTCATGTGTGCACACACCAAATGCAGAGCATACTCACGTGTGCATGCATTCAAAATTCATTCCCTCATCTAACAAAGAAATGATTATTTAAAAGGGAGGATTCAAACAATGACTGTGTTCTTGGAAATACTACTTTTTCTTAAACATGACAATAATGACTAGGGGAGAAATCACAGTTCTAGTCAATCTGACATAACATGTTTAGCGGACATGCTCAGAGAGTCATTACATTCCACCAGTATAAAAAAAGATGTATGAAGTGTTATCCCTTATGGACTTCTGAAAACTTTACTGAAAAGATCACAGTAAGAACAATGGTAAAAGTAAACAGATGCTCTGAACCAGATTTTTACCTTGGAATATTCAATTATTTTTTCTACTCAAAATGTATTTTATGATGCTTCTAGCTCAGGCAGATACCTTAATTTAGTTATGCCAAGTAAGTGCATTTTCATAATTAAATTAATTGAACTAGAAAAACATCTCCAGTATTCTAGTTCCATTACTCACTTCAGGTTTCTTCGAACTGAGTGCAAGTTCTGAGAAGTTTACTTCATATGGTAACAGTCACAAATAAAAAGAAATTCTAAGACAAAGAATGAATAATAACAGGTTTGCTGAGTGACAAAGTGTTACAGATTAAAAAAGAGTCATAACCTCACTTTTAGTGATAAATAATAAAGAAATGCTGTCACAGAGCAGAGAAAATAATTATAAATAATAGAAAGAATAATTAAAAATTTTTGATCTCGGTACCTCAGTCGTCCTATTCACCATCATCTGATGCAGCATGGTTTGGGAAAAAGAGGAAAGATATTAAAGATTGGCTGCGAAACCAAGAACTAAGTTGCTTTTTGAAATGAGTTATGCTGTTATAATGGGTAAAGCCATTCAAGCATGCATTAACATTAAGTATAACCTATTTTCCCACAGGCAATAAACCAGTATCCTATTTGACAGGGAAGCAGTGATTTTGCTTCCATTCCTATTTCTTTTGTTTATAAATAATAAGAGAAAGTTGGTTATCACTGAAATGAGAGATATAAACAAAAAGCAAAAAAATGTGTAGCTTGTAATTACTGCATGGCTAAACAAGGCAGAAATAGAAACATTACTGGTGATACTGGTCTAGAGGCTCATCTTTCCCCACAGAAGAAATTACCTTCAACCCTTAAGATGAAGGAAGCAAAAGCTGGCTGCCCATTGGCACTCAGCCACATGAGTGCTCTGTTTCCTGTAGGACAGCATTATGTTACCTTGGACTGCACATCGGCATTGTGGTCGTTCTGCAGTAGGAGCGCTGCTGATTTGGTGTCATCTTTTCTGGCAGCAATGTGCAAAGCTGGTAATCTCACTTTCCCCTTGGTGTCATTTTCCAGCAGGATAGCCACTGCTTGATTGTGTCCTTGTTGCAGAGCAACAGCTAAGGGAGTGAAACCATCCTGCAAGAAAAGAAAACAAAATGTACTCAGTAAGATGAAGGACAGAGCTTCAGCAAACTGCATGGCACTGTTCACACACAGAAATATGCTAAGCACATCACCAGCTCTTTTCTGCCTCTACACCACAATGCACACCAGTGAAATGGCATCAGAGGCACAGCATTTTAATCCAGATGCGACTTCAAACACATCAGAAGAATGCTTTTTTAGTTCAAAGTTCTGTTTGTTTGTTTGTTTAAGTACAGGCAAAGGATCATTCTACAGTATCTGTCCTAATTACTTGTCATAAAATGGACCACAATGTGTATTCTAGCAATATTTTTGTAAAAGAAAAGAAAACATATCTCTAAACGCATTTGTTTCTGTTTCCCATTCTAATTTATATATGGCCTATAACTCACAAAAGTCAGCTAACATTTACTAATTTATTCAAATTCTAAGTGGAAAAACATTATATTATTTCCGGAAATCAGAAAAAATTGTTTTTCCTTTGTATTTTTAGATTTGTTTTAAAATTGTTTTCAAAATTTCATGCTCTGCCACAGACGCCCTGAACTCCCAATGCTTCAAAATGTATCACAGGCTCAAAACTTGTGTCTCAACTGAAGTATTGCCTGTTCGAGTACCTCATCTATAAAACTAAACCTAAACCAATAAATCTAAAAGCTCAAGTCCTGGATGTCGTCTTAGCACGTATACTATGTTCACACGCTAGACTGAAAGGCAGCTAAACCACCAGGAACAGTGGTTCCTCACAAACCGAGTCTGTGACAAGGAGGCTGCTGGATAATAGTGCTATGAAAAGGGAAGGGAATAAAACAAAGTTTTCCATGTGTAGATCAGAAGGAACAGCTGAAGAGTTTATTATGCCAAACTGCTTAAGCAAACTAAGACACATTGTAAAAGGCATAGGAAAGAGATAGAACTGACCATGGAATAAGAAAATAGGAAGATGTAAAATAATAAAGGATATGTCGGGAAGAAATGAGTGCTAACACGCTGAAAGAAGCATCTGAAGAATTGCCAAAGCAATTTTCTCCCCTAGTAAACTAATAATATTCATTCCCTTTTGCACTGAACTGTGGGTAAGTGTGCTGTAACAGCTATACTCATACAGTTTCTTTCTGTAATAGAGATTAAATTCTGTACAGTGAAATAAAAAGTAGTGAACAGCTGATGAAACAGCTGAACTGCAGAGATAATTCAGAGATTGGGGCTACATTAGGTGCTGAAATGGCTTAATGCATTTGCCTTTTGCCTCTGGAAACATGAGAACAAATCCTGGATTAGGGGCCCTGTGAAACTGAGCTCATCCTGACTCTGATTTTGTACCTATACATATAAAGTGAAGGAAACATAAAATAGAGGAATAAAGTACATCCAAAGGCAGTGCCTGTTTCAGAGCTTCAAAGACAAGATCAACCATTTGATTTGTCCCACTTTATCTTCCATCTTCCTCTGAGCAGCTACTGCCATTCTTGCATTGTCCCTCCTTTTACTTGTAGGAAGCATGCCTAACGGGAGCCCTGAGAAAGTATTTCATTTCTCCACCTCCTCACGTGAGAACAGCCTATCTTTGAGGTCAAACAGAATGTCCTTCCAAAGTCTTTTGATGCTGTCTCACCTTATCAATGTATCACTTCTCTGTTCCATTCATAAGACTTAAATTCAGGGCACATGTGAAAGCAGACAGCAGCTCAGTTTTCTACTGAGTGCAGGTTTCAGTAATATTCGCATCACTAAAGACACCACCTGAGCAAGGTTTGAAACCAAAACTTATCTAGGTAAGTGATAAGGAGACAGACAGACTTTACTTTTCAGACCACAAAAGTAAGATCTGACTTTTCTGATGACAGAAGACAGACTTGGACTCAAGTTCAGAGTGGGGCCAGTTGGCTTTTCTCCTTCCCTGCCTTTTTTTTTTTTTTTTTTTTTTTTTTTTACAAAATCAGAGAACCCTATAAATTCCAGTGATGCCTTGATGTCTGTGTTCAAGCAGAGGCCACATGAATTGTAACCACATCATCTTCATAGTTCCTGTAATCTAATGATCACTGCTCCTGATCACAGTCAATAAAAGTTATTCGGTGAAAGACTGAGAGCAGGTGACTGCACGTTGTAGCCAGGCTGGGCTCTGGGAAGCCAAAGATCCCCTGCGACTCGGTCACAAAGGGCGTGTTTCTGCCAAGTTGCCTGGTGATCACATAGGACTTCATATTTCAGAATGCTGCAGTGTAATGTGATCTCAGCGTATGCAGGCCTCAAGAGGATTATTTTAGGAGCTGTCATCAAATGGTACAGTATCCATTGAAAGAAAGGATAGTAAAGCAGCTGTTAACACTAGCAGGTCAGTTTAATGAAAAGGAAAGAAAGCATAAATGCGCCATCATCTTGAATGTATCCACTCGTGAAGGTAATCTGGAATAGGTAAGTTTCTGTACAGACTAGGGAAAAGCAATAGACATGAGTAGAAGCTCTCTGCGAGAGGAGGAGCTTTTTTGTTACCACTTCACATTGCATTTCCATTTATATAGACCAAACACAATGCCAGTAAGCTTTGTAGCACAGCATCTGGTCACTTGTTCTCCTAGCTGAGAACAAACTAAGAGTTGGCTGAAGCAGAGTAACAAGAAGTTGAGGAACACATTCTTCATTATCTAGAATTTTCCTCCATTGTCACAAAAGCCTTTCACTTGCAAAAGGAAGCTCTTGAGATGGAGACTCATCTCTTCCACTGGCATCTGCTTTGCTTGTTTGAAAGTAGCTGCAGGCAGTGAAATCCAGATCCTAGCAATGAAAACCATCTTTCTGTACACTTATTCCCACATGATTTGATGGTAGAAGTAAACCTCGTGAGGATAAACAACACATTTCCTGGTAAGCTCATTGATGCAATTCAAATTGTCATTTATCTTCCCCATGAGACCCCTTTGTCTCCAGACGAGACTGGGAGATACATGCTATAATAATTCCATTCACCAATTTTTGCCCAGATGTTACTGTACAAATAGAGAAGCAGCACAAGATAGCATCAGGTGGCACTCCTAGATGCTTCAGTTTTCATGGGATTTGTCAAAGATGTAAATCTGAAACTGTGACTGTTCAAAAGGAAAGGCTGTACCTCTTCTCTTATCCTATGATCAATCTGCTCCTAACTCACCTAGCAATACCATTCCATTGAGGTCATCTTAGCCTCCTATAATTTCCACATCCTTTGGGAACTCATTTCAAAGTCTCACTCATTTTTCAAAAATATATCCGAGAAGCTGAATGGAGAAACAGGCATACACTAAAGGTGAAAATCCTGGGCTCACTAAAGTCAGTGGATGATTTGCTGTCAAATAATCAGGCTGGATTTCATCCTTTGACTTCTCACAATTACCAGAACAGTTTGTCCATCTAATGTGTTTGTTTGCGAAAAAAAAAATGCTGAAAGATCCATAAATAAAACTCAGCTAAATGAATGAGTGAAAGCTCTCAAAATACTCCATCTGCAAATCTTTCAAGTGATCTGAATATAAAGGCAAGGGAAAATAGGAATGTAAAAAAAGAAAAATATAAGTCACCTCAGTAGCTGTGCTTTGGTTGGCTCCATTCTCCAGCAGATATTTCACCACTTCAATGTGGTTCTCTTGAGCTGCCATGTATAACGGAGTGAAACCATTCTAGAGAGAAAATATGAGAAAAAACTGTAGTGAGAAAACAGTGACATTGAAGCCCAAACTAATATACAGCTAAAAATGCATTTATGCTTTTTTACTTGTTACGAGTATATAAGTAGAACAACTAAGTATTTTTAACTTAGTATGTAGCATTTTCATGTCATTTAAAGCCACAAAAGTCTACACGCTTTCACACACATTTTCTTCTGATATATTTTCAGGAAGCAGTGAGCGCACTAATTACCTTGCTGTCAATGGCTCTGGGATGGTAAAGCTGAAAATAAAGTTTTATAAAAGATGACAGGAAAGTAAAAGTTTCACCCCCTTATTACATTAACTTAACCAAAGACATCATCCTCTGGAGAACATGAAGTCTGTATCTCATGACATGCTGAGCCAAGATGACAAAGGCTTAATATATTACACAAAATTCTGTAATGCATAAAACATAGCAAACATAAAGAAACTCAGCCTTACAAAATAAGAACTGCATTTCTGACCATGAGTCAGAATAATGAGTTGGTCTACTTAGAAAAATCTGCTCTGGATAATACTTCCAAGTTAGTCAATCTAAAGGCAAATTCATCAAACATATTCTAACCAGAATTAATGCAAATACTGTGGTAACTAAAAACTTTGTTTCAGAGAAGCCAACTTGCTATGGAAACATTGAAGTAATTTCCCAATGAAAAGAAGTATCCTTTTTCAGTCAGTAGATAATACAGTTGTTTTAGAACCAATGTCTTTACAGCTGTCCTCTACACTACAATTGTAGAAAATTATTCAGATAAATTTTGTGTACGTTGCATATAGTGGTGACATATAGCATACATGTTGTAGCATCTCTTTAAATACGACTTTGTGTAATATTCTAGCATTTTCATTAACAATCCTGGGACACAAACAATTAAAAAATTGCACCTAACAACTGTTAAAGCAATTTATTGCAAAACTGTGGCGTGCATTTTGAGTGGCTTTGCATAAGGAACCTCTGTCTCTAGCAGATATTTTCCAATATTCTCAGGAATTACATGGAAGATGGAACTGAATGCTCTTACTAGAGTTACACACAGCATGAAAAAGGTATTCTGCAATTACACCACACAAGAAGAATGTAATTTGAAAGGTTCCCGTTACCCTGGAAAAAAGGGATGGACATGCAGTGTAACAAGGATGAATGCTAGTTTCAGTGCTTTGGCAGGATTAGCAAACTGGGCAAATAGGGAAAAATGAGTTAGAATTTTGCAGAAAAGAAAAGGTCACAATGAAGGTCACAATGGACTACCAGAAGGTCACTGAGCTCATCCTGCTGTAATACAGCAATCACTGCACTATTGTAACAATTAAAATAGGGAAGTTATTTAAGAAAACTGTTGTAAATTGGTGCTATTTAGTCTAGAAATAGAAAAATGAAGGGGAAAAGGTAATGTTATTCAAAGAAGAAGGGAAAGATTTGTTCTGCATGTTGATAATGCTAAATCAAATAGAAAAGCACACAACTTACTAAGGTTGCAGCAAAGAAAATTCAGGATAGACATCAAGAAAAGCCCCTTAAGAGTAAGATCAATGGTATTTTGGTGGGCAACTCTCCTGCCTCCAAATTACAGGCAGTAAACCAGAGGCACAAAGAAGGAACGCAACCTCTTCCATGCCTGTCATGGTGGCAGAGAGGCCAGCAAGCATGTGTGCAGAGGACTGCCAAGCTAACAAAGTGAGCTGGCAGTAGGAATTATGAACAGATTGGTTTGTTTTCAATTGCACTAGGACAGAACAGCACTGAGAAAACTGCAGGTAACCAAGCTGGCTTGCTTTTTTTAGTTTTCCTTCTCACACTGGAAAGAACCTATTAGCAACTAACCTATAACTAGCAGTAATCTTCCACATGCTTGATTAGTATTTTAACCCTAAAGTATAATGTAGCATTTTAAATGATTCATGCATTTTGCAAAATACTTCTAACACTGAATACTGTATGGATGAATATGCACTCATATATGTAAAGAATATGAGAATTTTCAAGCCAAAGTAAATCTATTTGATTAAAAACTTATCACTGGAACAGGATCAGGGCAATAAACCTTGGATTAGAATACCATACACAATACATATATGATTTTATGATCATTTAGAAATACTATATGCTTACCCACCCAGTCCCAACACTGAACCTCAGACTGCCCACTACATCAGGTATATTCTCCTAAGATGTTATAGTCCTACCTGTAACTACAGCAAATGTGTGTAAAGAAATTCTTGCCTACATAAAATCATAGTCTCTTTTTTTCCCTTCAAACTTTATTCATAGTGTAAAATTACCATATTTTCTTAAAATCTTTCTTATTTTGGAAATTGCAAAAGCATGCTGAGTTTTATTTGTAACATTGCCTACACCAGACACACTGAAAAGCTTCCTCTGAATTTATCATCTGGCAAGGCGAAGTCTGATTTATTTATTTTTTTTTTACAGTCAGGGTGAAGTTTGCTTTCTTAGTGAAGAACTGCTTTCAGACCTTCTAATTGTGGTGTTCCTGACCTCAACACTTTTGGCTCTCGTCCAGAGACTCCTATTTTAGGAGATTCCCAACATTACCGCTCTCCTTGGCAGAGCTCTACCCAGCGGGATAACCCGTTAGCCCTGCTGGAGCTCTTCCTTCTCTGCTGTCTCCTAGACTTCAGGACTTTCTGTCTCCTCCCACTCAGTACAGTTTCTCTGACAGGCTATGGTGTGCCTGCTCTTCTGTCTGTCTCCTACACAACAAGTTTCTTTCTCAGACAGACCTCCAGTTAAATGGAAATGCCCACAACAAAATCATATCCCGCCATTCTGGTTAATGATGTTTCATGGATGTACTGCAAAGGACAACAACCTCTCTCTTGCTTGTATTAATATGTAAATGGGACACAAAAGTTTTATTGGGCCTTGAAAGGGAAAAATATCTTTATTACAATAAGTTTTCCTTTAGCTTATGAGTTCACACTGTATCAACACATTCCAAAACTGAAGTAAAAATAGAGACTATAGTAAATAAATGTGACAGGAAAAGAAGAAATACACTTTCTTCTCGTTTTCTCAAAGTCTGGCTGCATAATTGTGCTGTATCTGCATGTCTAGGTTCTGTGCATCATACGAAAAACAGAAATTTTGTAATGATATATAACATTCACTTTCACACAATGATTTCATCAGAGTATTTGTTGTGAGGACACAGTACTTAGATTTGAGTATCCTCTCAAATGCATATTGAAAAATGTTTACTGCTACAGTATAAAGTTATTATGTGAAATTAACACTAAGCAAGTAGAGTATATTTCATGCCCCATTCTCTCTACTACATTCACTTATTTACTTGCTAATTTGAGAAAATGACTAGCTCTCAATGATTCTTCAAGCTAATAATGCAAATTGGCAAGCCTTAATATGACTCCGAATTTGTATCATTAAATTCTATCCAAGCCCTAATGAAGAACACAGTCTGAAGAAGCAAAGAGATTATTAAAAGAGATTATTATTGAGAAAACCACTCAGTTTAGCTGTATTTTAGGGCAGGCTTTCAAGGAATCAAGCTCTTTGTACGCAGTACCAAATGACTGGAAGTACACATCTTCCAAACTGGTCTCAGTAACCATTCTGTTTGAATGACTGGCCTACTCACATGAAGATGCAGCCCTTAGCATCTATCCATATATAGAAATGCGTGTGTATATACATACATATACTCATATATATACACACACATTTATCCTTATGAATGCTAATGAGGGAAATAGAGGAAACAAATATTTCCCCACAGTTTGCCTCATTTACGATGACATATGAAAGCTGTGATTTAAGAGCTAACAAAAACTCAAATAAAATATTTTATTTTAAAAGCCTCCAAGAACTGTTTAAGACTGTATTAAAACACGACTAAAATTACTAGGAAAGACAACCGACATTTAACACAATTGTTTATACAGAGCAAATGCTCATTCCTAATTACTCTTCAAGAAGTAATTACCAAGCAAGGAGCCCACACGGCCCTACCCTAGGCCAGTTGTCTCACCTGCCTCTCCATTTTATACTATGGGTTTCTGGTTTGAGACCTTGATCATCTTTTATCATCCAATTTTGCTTCACACCAAGGAAATGAAAAGCTATCGATCAAGGTCACAAATGAAAACCAACACAGTTAGACATTTTTTTGTAAGCTTTGATACAATTCTCTAATTGTAATTTCTCAAGTGACATTTAAAGATGCTGTGAGCAAAATATCCCACAAATAGAAGTTTGGTTTTCTCTCGGTTGCTCATTTCCTTTGTAGGACCTGGCAATTTATCCAACCTGAGAGAAGCTTCTGTGAATTTAATTCTACTTTTCTTCCTGTGCTTCCTTCTTTTTCCACTCTTAGAACACAAGCCAGTTCCAAAATGAAAGAGACACTGGCACAAAGGATAAGATATGAATGAGACAAGATGAGACAAGCTTAGATTAGTCATAAGACAGCACACTCAGATAACAAATTCTTCTTATTAATGGCCAAGGCATTTAAACAGTAAGAACATAATCACTGCTCAAACCTTTAAAATTCAGTAACTGTTACAGGATTTTTTTACTCTTTTGAATATTGCTTGACTTAAACAAAAATGGCAAGATCCTGATTAAAATCTTTATTCAGTGACATACAATTCATCCCCCTTGCTTCCTCATTCTGCCAGACATTAAAACAAATCACTGACATCTACATCCCATCTTAGCAGTCAGAATAAACATGTTTACTATCAGAACTAGAACACTCAATATTAAGAGTATAATAATAAATGCATTAAAAAACTTTCAGATTGTAAAAATCTACATTTAGACTGAGACATTTCAGCAGGGTTTCACAAGGTGAAAACATCTAAAACTCCTAGAAAACTACTGCATTTTTTTCCTCCAGTGAACATGTAGCGCCTACCAAGAATTCAGATCAACGCTGCTGAGGAGTGACAAATGCTGCCTTAATACTGCTCAATTTTACCTCTAA